TATTGCCTGGATTATAGAAAATATCCGAGAGTTCTTGACACAATTTTGTGATTAGAGCTTTTTCTTCCGAGTATATGTGTTGGGTACGGATTACTCCTTTTATGTCCTTATTTTGAGATTTCGTACGTATTTTTACATTGTCAGACGTATTGGTCAGCCTTAAATCGATCAACTGGTAAAGGTTGTGTTAACGTAACTGAAATTGTCTCGTCCGTGGGAGTTTGAATTTCAATTAGAGCGAAATTATTTTTGCGTATGAAATAGCAGATGGTATTTCTAGATTTTGTAGTTTTTGATTTCTTTTAAAGATGTTTCATGGGGATTTACAGTTAGAGTGAAGTTTGCGTTTGATTGTTTTCTATATTTGAATGGAATTTCGAAATCGATATTCAGATTCATATTAATTAAATCAGTTAAGCCTACATCAAAAAAGTCATAAAAATCAAATAAGATAAACTCTATTCGATAATCGATGTTAAATTCAGAAAATGCTTATATGCTAGCTTGAAATCTAGTATTTTGACAACCTACTGCTGTCTTTATTTCATTATATTTATGATAAATGCAATTTGGAAAATATTTTTCAGCGATAGTTGGACGTAATATCGAGCGTGAACTACCTGTGTCTATTAGTAGTTAAATATTTGGTTTACGTATTTGAATATATGGTAAGCGTTGTTGTTTTTAGTCATTTGGATTTTGTGTTTCGACGTTTTGGTCGATATGCGATGTATTTTCATACTCATTTTGTTCATAATTTTACTCAAATTCGTCGTAATCATTATACTCATTTTGATTAACAAAATAATCAAGTTTTTATTGCATTCTTGCTTAAACAATTCTTCCGCTATAAAATTCGGGGGCTGATTGTTGTTAGTAAAATAATTTTGTTTTATCGGTCGTCTTGTGAATGGATTATTTGCTTGTCTCGATATACTTGACATTGGTGTCGGTTCAGGAAGTTGGTTGGGTTATATTTGATTGGGTTTGAAGACATTCCGTGGGGGTGCGAAAACTTCCCGATTTGTTGGAAATCATCTTTGAGGTATCTGCCTCGGTTGAATATTTATTGGTTGAGATGGAAATTGTGGTTTTTTTAATTGATTTTGATATTGGTTTCAATTTTAAAATTTATTAAAATTGTTTGGCATGAAATTTGTGTTGGGATTTATTCTAGGCTGAAATCTGTTTAGATTCGGCTGATTTTGGAATTGTTGAAATGGTAGAAAATGTTGTTTCTTGTTGAATTGTTGAAAATTTGGTGTTTCGAATTGTTTTGCATTGTTTTGTTGGAAGTTGTGTATTTGGAATTGTTTTGAATTACTTTGTTGAAAATTGGGCATTTGAAATTGTTTTGTTGTATTGCTTAGATTCCCGTAGAGGTTTCCGAAATTTTCCAATTCAGAAACATAAGCAATGGCTTCCTCTAAAGAATCTGGTTGTTTTAAATGCATGTTGTTTTTGAGCGTCCCGGTGCATCCTGCTATGAATATATTAGGCGCGATTTTGTTGTAATAATTTACATGGAAAAGTTTTTCATTTTGATCTAAATCTTCTGAATTACTAATTCGCTGTATTACACTACTCTTTGTAGCATACCGTATACATATTATGTTATTTTGTTATTATTTGTTTCTTATTTAAGTTTAAGTTCTCTAAAGTGCGCGAGTGGCGGTAAATATAAAGCGGTGCGAATCACGAAGGGACGGCCGTGGGGATGCGAGGGGAAGTACTGGACGACGGCGAAGTTAAGGTGGACTGAGGTAAGCAGTGGGTAGCAGGAAGGCAAGAGAAGCGGTTGCGCTGCAGTGTTGACGACGTCCGATCAATTGACGTAAGGTGGAAGTCCACCTTACGTTCGAATATTTCTGGGTCCTGAGAACATCGTCGCCGAACAACCGTTGGGTGGTGGCAGCCTGCTACCGCCTCAAGATCCTTCAAGGGAACGTCGACCGCTCCCACGTAAGTCCGTTCCACTCGGAGTGGTGAATACCGCAGACTTGTGTGCGTTTCGGTTCGAACCTTGTTTATTATCAATGTACTTTCGGCACATATTGTTTATTGTTCATTTAACAATCGCCTCCCATTCACTTAGAGTGGTAATTATTGGTTTATTCTATCAATAAATATCTTCAATCAAGCGACCAAGAACCTCATTTCCCTTGTTATAATTGTAACGAAACATTACATCTTGAAAAGTTGAAGCCTACCACCGAAATCAACTAAATGTTCGTTTTTGAACGGTCTTCTTCTAGTTATTTCCTGAATTAGACAATTTAAATTTCTCCTATCTGCAAAGCATTGAATGAGCGCATCTTTTATGCTTAACGAATCCGTCAATTCAGATCGGTTGCCTACCATTAACTCTGCTTTCTCTACTAGGTTGTCTATGACACAATCGAAGATATGGCTATGTAGTTCCGGATCTCCTAGACTAACGTAGGAATTTATTAATCGTTCGCACTTAGCAATAAACTTATTTAGCGTGGCGCTATTTCCGTCGAAAGGTTTTATATTATCTAGGTTCTGCACTACTCATACTACCTGAGCCTCCTTGTTGGGTAATTGTTTTGACTCCTCTTTGTGTTTTGTTCCCTAATTTTAAAATTGAATTGAATTCCTTTTCGAGATTTTCGATTTCAGAATCGCTCATTTACGATTTGATTTAATTTTTTTTCTCTTTTTCGTAACCTAATCGCGTGCAATGCGAGCCCTAAACTATCCCTTCAAGTGACCGTATACAGAGGTATCGGAGGGGCAAAACGAAATGGCACTTACGGTTTCGTATTTCTCCGTCTCCTTTCCGGCTCAATTTGCCAACTCGTCACATGCTGGTTGTACCTTGGTAGACCGTCGTTCTGCTTCCCTTGCTGCTGATTTTGTGTGCTGAAGAATTTGAGAATCCACGTAGCGAGTGTCCAAAAGTTTCGAACTTTCCACAATTGGCGATTTCACAGAAATTTCCAGAAGATTCTGGTTAATTGTTCACCACTTAGAAAATCCTACCGACTGCGTCACTTAAATGTTCAGAATTCGGGAGAGCGTTTTTAAAAACATTTATTACCCAGAAAGCGAAATAAAGTTTTATTTGGACTAGCCGATAGGGTCTGCAGTTTCGGGCATATAACTTATTTGATAGTTTTTCTGTAGGATAAATCAACGGTTTTTTATATATAACTTCATAATCGGGAGAAACTATATAGTTAGTTTCAACATGTCGTTAATGTACAAAACAAAGAGAATTGGAATGTTTAGTTAATATGCACAATATTAACCACCTCTTAGGAGGAATGTTAAATTCAGGACGTAGCAGAGTGATTCCGAATAGAATTTTTGGAATGATGTAGCATAATGACCGATTTTATTTTTGGAATAAACTATATGAGATTTAATGGCCATATTCAAAGCCGTTGGACATGAAACTATCTGCTTAAAAATATGTTTAAATTTTCTTGATTCTAGATTTTCTAGATCATCGAAGTAAAAAGATCATTTTAAGATTATTGTAAATAAATTAAAACTAATCGCAGAACCAGAACATATTCTACTTTTATGTATATGTATAAAAGTTGGGTTAATCTCTCTACATTTCGGACTTTTATCTATAGTTTTGCCATAATATAGAGAAAGGTCACAATCGGTGTAAATTAAATTTAGTCTAATTAGGAAATTTTTTGAGAAATAAGTCAGAATTGATGAAAAACAAGTCGCATTGTGAAACAAGTGAGAAAGTTTGACTTAAGTAAGAATTTTTTGAACATAAGTCAGAATTTCTGAAAAACAAGTTAGATAATTCATTCAATCTCTACACTCTAGGTATTAGAAACCAAAATATTGTGAATGAAAAAATCGGAAAACATGCCTTACACTTTTTAAATGCAAAATGGTCAAAAATTTTATTTTTTTATAAATATTATAAATAAATAAAAAATTATCTATAAACATATTAGTAATTGCCATGTCAGAAAACCTAAAACTTTTAATTTTTATTATTATACTATAAAAATTTTCTCCATTAAGAAAAAGAATTTCCAGAAATTAAAACTCCGAACGCCCTTTAACTTCTTTATATTATTTTTCTTATGGATGTTTTAATTTTCTAGATAATGATCATCACAAATTTTTAAATTCGATACCTTGATTCTAAATTGAATTTTTGTTGAATGTTTATTTACTACTTTATAATTAATAATTAAAATTTTGCAAACTACGATTTTAGAATTATAAGGCACTAGTTGTACACATTTTTTTATAAAAAAAATAGATGTGGAGGTTTATACAGGTTTAAAAAGAGATGCATGAAAGAGTCATTAAAAATATAGGTTTTAGGTCAATTAGGAAGATTTTTGAGAAATAAGTCAGAATTTCTGAAAAACAAGTCAAAATTTTAGAGAATCAAAACAGAATTTCTGACTTATTTTTTGAAATACAACTAAGTACAAAATATTTTCTAACCTTCGTAAACATGTAGCCTGGTTTCAATTTCCTCGTCTTACTTTTACAAGATATCCATGGACAGAAAATAACTAAGAAAAAGAAACAATAATAATACCCAATTTTAGTTTTTCAGTATAAAAAGACACATTTTTAAAAAAGCCAGTTTTTCCCCAAAAAATTACCATAAATAGAATATATATTTATGTCAAACACTTTTTGTATTTCACTTTTTTGCCTCAGTGTCGTTCTTACTGAGATGAGGTATAGCAGCATCTTAAATGTCTCCAAATCCGGCGGCATTTGTATGAGGCATGATGAGGTAATAATAAGATTTTGGAAGCTAGTTTAGAGATGGCACATTCTTTATGAAATACCCTGTATAACCTGATGCTTCGATGTCCTTTACGAAGAGACTTATGACAGAAATTAAACTAAAACCTATATTTTATTTTTGATGGTGGTGGTGGACTGAAATACCACGACTCAGTACGTAGATCAAAATTGGTCATTTTATCTGAAATTTTCTAAAAATATATAATAATTAGCCTAAAAATAAGTTGTGATTCCTCAAATTCTATAAAAAACGTCATTGTTTTTTTTTCATCTGAGTGTAAAATATTAGTTTGATTTATTTAACAAGCCAAGCTAGCCTTTATTGTTGTTACGTGTTTATCAGTGTTCTCAAACAGATACACATTTGTATAACATAAGTAAATAACTCAGCAAGATTAGCGCGGTTGGCCAAAAACAAATTTTAACGATTGAATCCTCGCAATTGACTGAATTACCAGAAAATTAAATACTCTATGTGTAAGCAAAGTTTCATCATGCGATCGAATTTCCCACTTTAACCTCACTTTCAATCCACTTTTTTTTTTAATAAAACTGTGGGAAAATGAAAAGTTGAAAATATTTAATAAACGCTCTCGCCAAGTAAATAGCAGTGCGGACTTGTGACATGTTAACATTATAATAACATTGGCGATAATTAAATAATGACAGCTATCCGCCAAAATTATTCTCGGAAAGTTTTTAGTGGCAAATTAGATATGCGTTTAGTTAAATTCCTCTTGGTGTTTCATTTCGTGTTTGGAGTGAAGTGTCATCGGCTATTGGTCCTCTTTGCCGACACGGAGTCACGATATTTTAGGGATAGCGTTGGCAAAAGGGCTTGCCGAACATGGGTTCGATGTCACCTACGTGGGACTTTTTAGAGATAAAACTCCTCCGACGAACTATCGAAAAATCGTACTCAACGGATTTTTGGAAGAGTATCAACGTAAGTATACCATACATTTCATACCGTACCATAAAGCAATTATGGGCAAACTCCGACTGTTGGAAGATTTGCTTTGAGATATAGGGTAGCAGAGTTTTCAAAAATAAAATATATTTTTTCAATATGTTTAATACCGCTTTAGAAATTCTAATGAAATTTGACATACGTGTACTATGTATCAAAAGGCATTATTTAGTGTACCACAATTTTTTTAAACTACACCATTTCTCTTAAAATAAAAATTCCTACTTCTGCAATCATTTTAAAAGAAACTTGATTTTTTCAATCCAATGTACGGTTTTCCGAACGACGCATAAAGAAAAATCAAGAGATCAAATCTGTTCATAATTGAATATAAATGTCTATTTTTTTAAAGGAAATCAGTGTCGTGCGTAATCAAATAATATTTTGGTTAATTAGGTCCATTGCATTGGATAAATCGAAAACTTTTTTCTGAACAATAATATTGCTATCTGAAACAAACTAGTATCTTTCAGAAAAAAATTAGAAGACTGTTCCCTTTACTTTTGCATTTCTAGTGAAATTGCATTCTCACAACAAGATAAATAATAAATGATTCTTATTTTTAAAAAAGTACTACCTACTATTAATATTTTTTACAAAATCGTCTGTCAATTAAGTTAATAACGATCTTTTTGAAAAAAAGTAGAACATAGAAACTAGATAAGTTGTTCAATGTGTACTTTATCTTGAAATAAGGAAATAATAATGAAAATAATTCTATGCATGCGCCCCCTTAATTATGTGCATTCAATTAGAAAACAAACTGTATATTACACTACGTACTCATAATCACGGAATTAATTTAGCGAGCAACGCGACTGGCGGTGCAACCAAGCATCGTTGCTTATCAGTTGTTCTACTCAAGATGATCCTAGATCCTATAACATAGGAAATCCCATGTAAATTTGTAGGTGCCCAAATATTGGCTCCCCTGTACATTTTATAGCAAAGTTGTAATATAACTAACTTCAGTTATTGAATTAAATACAATGGCAAAATTAGAAAATTTTTAAAGTTAAGGTAATAAAACATCCGTAAAATTCATTTTGACGAAAACACGATATTTTTATTTGTGTTTGTTGTACTTTATTAAACGCGCTTTAATTAAAGCTTAGTTTGCATTCTTTAATTGAAGAAAAAGTAACCATAGTAGTTTTATGCAGGGAACAGTGTTATAACAGTGTCTAAAATATTTTCACTTTATTTTCCTGCTAAAACTGTACCTCGGATTACAACAATGAAATTCGGGTCCAAATAAATAACTGCAAATATTCAGCTGAAAATGTCGATAATAAAGCAGACGAAAGCAAGAATAGAGGTTTTTATTAGTACGAGGATTCTTGGACAAGCTGTAACCAAACATCAAACAACAGTGTTGCGCACATTAAAAAACCATAAATGTTTTTCTTATTAATACGAAAAGCACCAAGAGCTCCGGGAAGGCGATGAACAGAGAAGAGTAGCATTTTGTTTTGAAATGATGGAAAAAGCAAATAACGATAGGGATTTTTAAAAAAATACTTGTTTCACTGATGGATTCACACCCAAGAACGAACCAAATGTTTAAAACTATCGCAATTGGAGCTAAATCAATGAATATTGTTTTGTTCATACTCTAAGTCAATATCCTCAAAAAATAAATGTTATGCTATTCGCGAAGTTCAGATTTGGTACTAGATGGATGGTTGTAACGCCCATAATTCTCGTATGGTTAGGGAGTATTCTATTCTAGAATTGATCTCAGGACTACAGACTTTTGCATTGTTCGATTGGTTGACTCGAGAATATCAATGTGTTTGAGAGAAGTGTTCAGTTTCTTTAGATTGAAGCCCATACATGACAAAACAACCGGAATGATGTTGACTTCTTTTAGATTCCACAGCTTTTTTAATTCTCTCCTTAGGTCAGCATATTTGTTCAGTTTTTCATTGTTAGAGTTATGTCAATTTCCGGCATGTTGTGTCTTACTGTTACGTCTATCATGATAGTTCTATCCCAATAGATCTTAACAGCCTAATTTTCTATAACTGGAGATGGTTTATACAAGTAGTATGGCTAGTTGTTTTCAAGTTCAAACTTCAATTTTTGAGTGTTTCTAAGTAAAGCATTGTAGCAACTTTGTTGTGCCGTTCTAGATATTTATTTCTCGCCAGGTTTTCACAGCTCGATAATGTATGTTCTACGGTTTTTTGTTTTTTGTTGCACTTTCTGCACCTATCTGTTGGTATTTCTTCTTTAAGGATATACTTTTGACAGTTTCTTGTTTTAATAATCTAATCTTGAATACCAATCATAAACGCTTCAGTTTTTGGAAAAAGTGTTTCAGTCTTTAAACATTCCACGGATTTACTTTGATCTACTGTATCTTTCTGTAAGTCGTTAACAAATCTACCATGCAGTTCTTTTGAACCTCAGTTTTGAACTCTGTCTTAAATGGCTTAAAATTTTCCACCCAAGTTTAGAGGTGTCTATTCTGTTTCTGCTCTCACCAGAGTTTGATGAAGTTCACGGAAATGTTGACTTTTAAGCACCATCGAGAGTGTTTATCATGGGGTACCTATTCTTGCATTGCCAGCAATGGGAGATCAAAAATTAAACGCAGCGCATGCGGAAACCTTTGGGTTGGGGAGGAAGCTGTAGAAATTACCGAGGGGAGTTTTAAGGATGCTTTGAATGACGTTCTTGACAATCCCAAGTAATTCAGTATTCTTGCATCTTAACAGGCACGTCCGTCCTCCAAATGAACTTCCCAAAGACTTGAAGGAATTTATGGATAATGCCTACCGGATTCCACTCTCAAAACAATTTCAAAAGTTTTGGGATCCAGACAGAAAAAAATCCTTTGGAAGTGGCCACTCGATACTTTGCCAGAGCAGCCGAAGAACGTTCATGTATCAAACTGGTTTCCTCAACAAGATATTCTGGGTACTTGCAACTGGCACATGCGTTAACGCATTTTACATACCTTCGCTTGATTTTTAGCTCATCCGAATTTGAAACTCTTTATCATGAAATGTGGACTTTTAAGCACCATCGAGAGTGTTTATCATGGGGTGCCTATTCTTGCATTGCCAGCAATGGGAGATCAAAAATTAAACGCAGCGCATGCGGAAACCCTTGGGTTGGGGAGGAAGCTGTAGAAATTACCGAGGGGAGTTTTAAGGACGCTTTGAATGACGTTCTTGACAATCCCAAGTAATTCAGTATTCTTGCATATTAACAGGCACGTCCGCAATGCTGGAATGAAATTTTGTATGTAAATTTGTTTTTTTTTGTTGTTAGATATCGAGATATCGGTCAAGTGTTCTTCATGATCGTCCGATGAACATCAGTCAACTGGCAGCTTATTGGGTGGAGTATGTGATTAAGCACAAGGGTGCGCCACATCTTCGTGTTGCTGGTGCCCGGATGCCTGACTTTTAATTTTCACGCTGTTTTCCGTATCTTTTGCAATCACTAAAATTGTTGGAAGAATATTGAGGAGGAAAATCAAACTTAAAAAGAGTTAGCTATAATATATATAAATTATAAATTTTAACATGCTAGTGGTTAGTCAATAAAAAAAAAGAATAAAGCAACATTTTAAGATTGTGAATTTTTCTTATCAACAAATAAACGTATTGATTTATATTCCTGATTTTAACATTTATTCTAGGAAATCTTCAACAAAAGCCTCTAAAATGTTGCCGGTGGAATAAGAGTTAATGAATTGAATTGAATAATCACATCATCATCAAAGTTATGATGAGAGAATATGGTCCGACACTCAATGTTAAAAAGACCAGGTATATGATTGTTACCAAAACCGAAGCGCTCAATGAACACATGTGGAAGGTGAAGCCGCTGCGTCCTTTATGAAGATCAAAAAGCTGCTCTGTAGCCGCGATCTGAGCCTGAACGTAGGAACACGGATGCGCTAATGCTTTATTTCCCCAGTCCTTTTATAAGGTGTAGAAACTTGGACTCTCAACGCATACTGCGAGCGAAGACTAGAAGCTTTCTAGCTGTGGGTCTACCAAAGGATGTTGAGAATACCGTCGGCAGAGCATGTGACCAATGTGGAGGTTCTGAGAAGAATGGAGAAAGATGTAGAAATCCTGCAGGAAATGAAAACGAAAAACTTGCAATATCTCCGCCACATCATAAAAGGTCCTCAATATGATATCCTGCAACCCACAATCCATAGAAACATGTTAGGAAAAAGATCTGTTGGAAGGAGAAGAATATTTTGGCTCAGAAATCTGAGAAAATATTTTAATGTCTCGTCATCTGATTTATTTAAGGCCGTAGCTTTTTAAAGTAAGAATAGCGATTACGATAGTCAACCTGCGAAATGGAGACGGTACATGAAGAAGAAGAAACACGAGAGTTGGGAACCAATTATTTTTGGGCCGGATGGCGATGTGGCGATCCATTAAGGTATCCATTAAGACATGTGTGTAGGTTTCCGTAAACAGAATTACCAAATGTTTAAAATAAAAATGGCAAATTCTCAATATCTTAAGTTTCTTTTAACAAAGTGAAATGCTTCCAATTTTTTAAACAAAAATGTAGGTAATTCAAACTAAATATTCATCCCTTCATTTTAAAATTTTAGATATAGGAAATTGAATTGAGCATATACCGGTTCGTTTTAAACATATATAATTCCTCTATTTAAATGAGCATAATTTTATAATGAATTTTTGCTAGTTTTTAATTAATTAGATATTTACTTAAAAATATTCATATATTTCTTTCAATCAAGCATTCCATCCAAGAAGTTATACCAATTTTATATTGAAATGGTAATTTTACCATAAAAATGGAGATATTTTTTAATATAATTTCATAATTTTGTTTAGACCATTCTACAAATTGAAACTGATATTCTGGGAGATAGGAAAATATATGCAAAAAATATAAATAGTTTTACGACTTATCTTTATCGACCTATAGAATAAAGGTAGTTAAGAAATATATAAAAATGGGCTTTTTCAGAGGTATTACATTAATAATTACGACAAAAATAAATTTCTACCAAGTTTAACTTTTTTTTGTCCAGCTTAAGAAGTGCATGAACATGTTAATTGCTGCTACCTAAAATTAAAAACTATACTTAACCTAAACAAAATTATAGCACATATTTTTTTCCTACCCTACCCTAGAATACAATAATAGCATAAACAAAAGTACTTCAACACTTATGATATTTCTTGGTCTGTATTTAGTTTTGTAAAAAAAGAAGGATCCAAAAACCACACTCGAAATTTTGGTACTGTATCCAATAACCCGCATATATTATTACGTATAAATAATTTTCATTATTATTGATCACCTCCCTGGCTTTCAGCCTGCACGAGAACTTGCCACTAGCCGGTGCATATTTCATCAAATTTGGATGTTCACCAGAACATTGTTAAACAGATAGCTACATTCAGATGTATTTGGAAAAAATCTCTACTGCGTATAATGTACTTAAAAGATATAGGTAGTAAATGTAGTAGTAATAGTGTTCTAGATATATACCTTTCAAAACTTTTATAACGGACTCTGGAGTTTCCAATTTGATTGTTTTACAACCCTTACACCTTACACCGGTAAAAACGGAAACTGCACTGAAAGTTCGTATGAACATTCGTTACATTTCGTTGTGTACCCCCATATGCGATCAACTCAAACCAAACAGTACTGAACTATTATATACTATAATGGAAAGTATATTTTAAAAGAATTTTCAAATTGACGATTTTAAACTTATTGCATCAACGATATCATAATTTTGAGACATTTATTTTGTAAACTTACTTAGAATACGGCACCCTTAAAACAAAAGTAGTACATTTTGAAAATAGATATATTGTTTCTCCCACTAAAATTATATATCACCATTTTAAGGAGTCAACACTTTCTAAATAAAAAGATGATGCAATCCCAGAAGGAGAATTGGCAATTTAGAAATAAAAATTTGAAACATATTAAAAAACAAAATTATTTGTTACAATGAAAAATATATCTTGAAAATATCATATTCATTTTTCAAGCATATTGAAATTCTGAATTTGTCTATGCATAAATTTATTTGCGATGACATGTGTCAATTCGTTACTTGAAAATTATGTTCCAGTTAAGCATTTTTCAATTAAGATGAGGAGGTCTGACTCCAGAATAGGGAGTCTATTAATGAGGAACTCTACGTCAAAACTAACAAGGATATGCTTTGCATCTAAAGTAATGGCTTATAATTGTTCAATGAAAGTATTAGCTTTCCCTGTAAAGGGTTTTAATATACAAGATAGAAGATGGTTGAAACGCTTTTTAGATTTTGTTTCGCTACTTCATGCTTATGATATCAGGCGGGTTCACAAGTCCTGCTCGTAATATCGAAGTAACTGATTTGGCACGAAAAAATAATGTTCGCTTACTCTCAGTACCGCAGCACTCTAACCATAAAATCCAGCTTTTGGACAAACTGTTTATCGTTCATTCGAAATCTACTTTCAGGTCCTTCAATTGCTCCCGCTTTTATAACAGCAGAAAATGTTAGTTGTCCAATACCGCGTTTAAATAAAACAACAAGCAACATGGGAAGAAAAGCTAGCAAGGCTGCTCTATTGACGACTTCCCCATACAAACTTTAATTAACTTATCATTTAAGGGAAAAAAATAAATAAATCCCAAGACAAATAAAAGAGTACAAGAAATTTTAGGAATAAAGTCACCTAAGAAGAGAAAACAACTCACTGATGTAACAGATGAAAATCTGATCCTATAGCCCAAGAAAATTCAGCATGTTTTTATCGTGGTGGCTTGTTTTCGAAGGATGCTTGTGGTGAATTATTAGTATAAATTTTTATATGCGAGTTTTGTAGTAGCCGTTGAGTTTTGATGTATTTGATTATTATGACTACACTAGTTTTTATAGAAACAGAATGTAAGAATGTAAAAATCATTTTAGTTCATATTAAATACTAGTGGTCCGTATTATAAGACCTTTTTTAAAATTTTAAATGTTTTAATATTTTTCAGAAGCTTAGTTTTTGTTCATTTCGTTTTTTAAAAGAAAAACTATTAGTAATACACTGTCGCATGTGTGCTTGACTGACTGGAATAAAAAACTAACTCTTGGACATTTTTTCTTTAATTTTATTTAAAAAAATCTTTACAGTAGTCCACATTTAGAAAACCGAATCTACAAAAACATCAAAGAAATAACGGGAGAAAATAATAAAAAAACAGCAACTAAAGGATGGGGGTGGAACACTTGGAATATAGACTGAATATAAAACGGCTTAAATGCATATGCAGAAGAGGGACCAGTACTATTAAGGGAAGAAATCGAATATGCATATAAAAACATCAAAAATGGTATAGTATGGACAGTGGACCCGATTATATCCCAGTAGAACCGCTTATGCTTATGGCCGATGAATCTATTGCGTCACTTCTAGAACTCTTTAATACCTATCCACAACTACCAAAGAAATGGCTTTAAGTCCATAGTTATAGCAATTCCGAAGAAAGAAAATGCAAACGACTGCAATAGCTCTGATGTGTAAAGTTGTTTTTAGATAATCCATAACAGTATCCACAAGCATTGACTCGGCTTAAACATTTTGACTTCGAAATGACATTTGATATGATAAAGATTTTAGGGTTTAAGAATAGAGATAGAAATATTAGAATAATCAGACAGTTAAAGTTGAGAATGAGTTTACAGAGGAGATCAGGCGCCAGAGTATTCCAAAGGAGGCCAATTGCTAGGGAAAAGAGGGGTCACACGCACACATCCATCATGGCATTTAAAAATTATCAAGGCCAAGTGATACTCAATGATTGAACAATGACTGAATAGTGGAAAGAGTACTTCAACGAACTTCTGAATGTAAAGCAGAAGGAATCATACTAAGAAGAAATATATTCTACAGTGAACCTGGCACTAAAAGGACCCTAATTGAGGGTTTTAATTAAACTAAAGAACTGTAAGGCACCTGGTTTGGACAACACTGTCACAGAATTCCTAAAATATGGAATAGACACACTCCATTGTCAGACTCAGTAGTAGAAGAAGTGTAGGTCGACGAAAGATATTTTGGCTGCGGTATTTGAGTGAGTGGTACCACTGCAGGTCCAGTGTATTATTCACAAAAGTAGCCAAGAGAATGAGGCTAGGCATGACGATATCTAACCTCTGCTAGGAGTGGTTTCAGAAGAAGGAAAAAAAGGAAGGCAAATTATTTTGTAGCAATATTTTTTAACTCTTTGTAAAATGTTTCTCTATTTATAAGCATGCTCGCACTACAGTTTGTGGAATTTCTAAATTTTACAGTATCTGGTTACATCGGAAGTATATCTTTTCAAGTAAATAGGCTTCTCCTTCAATCATACAGGTAATCCAAACTTAAAAATATATATTTTTCCTAAACAACTAACCCACACATGGCCAACATACGGCCCGCGGGCCACATCCGGCCCGCGTAATGAATTTATTCGGCCCGCGAGTAATTTTTCAATATTTACGTTTGCCTGACACTTACATAGTATTAATCAAGTAAATTAAAAATATTTCTGGTTTTTCATATGAATTAACATTTTCGTGCTTATTTGTTATCTGTAAACACACTACAAACTCTATAATCTATGTATTTGAAGTTGAACAGTACGCCAGTTCATTCGATGCTTTCCGTAAGTAGCAAACTTGTTAATAATAACTTGGTCGCTTGGAAGTTCGTGCTTGCCTGGCAGACACTTGGTGTAACCCTGGCAGACGCGTGCGCGGCCCGGGGTAAGCCTTATTTCTACTAGAAATAAGGTCCACCGAACCTGCGCGTCCCCCCACTAGGGTTATAAATATCTTAAAATATCTCTAGTAGCCGGTTGTTTTCAGGCTTTAGTGCTCGCTACCACCCAGTGCAGTTTACATCATCGGCTCTGCGTTATTTGTATTATATTATATATATTAACTTTTTAATTTATTTATTAATTAATAAGGTATGTTACATAATTTCTGTTTATAAAAAAAATTTTATATTAAGAAATATTTTCATCCCTAGGATGGCTTCTAAAAAACGAAAGGTTGATACAGAGTGTCGAAATTTTAATGATGATTGGAAATGGAAATATTTTTTTACGGTAGTTAAAGAGAAAGCTGTGCGTCTCATTTATAACTCTAGTGTGGCAGTTTTTAAAGAATACAATTTAAAAAGACATTTTGAAACGAAACATGAGAATTATGCAAACCATTTAAACGAAGAAGACCGAAAAAAACAACAAAATATATTTGTAAAACAAAATCGCTTGCAAGATTCGGTGACGGAAGCAAGTTTTTTAATAGCCAAACGTATTGCTGAATGCGGAAAACCTTTTTCTGAAGGAGAATTTTTAAAGAAATGCATGTTGGATGTTTGTAACGTGTTATGTCCAGAACTTAAAAATAAATTCGAAAATATAAGCCTATCTAGGTAAACTATTGCCAGAAGAGTAGAAGATTTAAATGTGGATATAACTAACCAATTATTATATAATATAGAGTCAGCCAATTTTTATGCAATAGCTCTTCACGAAAGTTGCGATGTAAAAGATACTGCACAATTGTTAATTTTTATCAGAGCTATAAATGATGATTTCAAAATCTTGGAAGAAGTTTTAGAAATTGTTCCAATGAAAGATACAACAGGCGAAGATCTGTTCCAGGAAATTGAAAAGTGTTTTTTAAAGTACCATATTGACTGGAAAAAATTGGTGAATGTTACAACAGACGGAGCACCAAACATGACAGGAAAAAATATTGGAGTAATTAAACGCATTGAAGATAAAATTTTCGAAATCGATCCCGATCATAAAATTAGACCAATACACTGCATTATTCATCAACATGTCCTATGTAAAAATGTTTTAAAAATCGATCATGTTACCAAAATAGTTGTAAAATTAGTAAATTTCTTAAGAGCCAAAGGATTAAATCATAGGCAATTCATTGATTTCCTTGAAGAACTTAATACCACATATTCCGATGTAATATACTACAATAAAATCCGTTGGTTGAGCTTGGGAAAAGTATTAAAGCGTGTGTGGGAGCTTCAAGAGGAAATACGAATTTTTTTAGTGCTCAAAGAAAATGAGGAGTTTCCTGAATTAACGGATCCAGATTGGCTTGGTGATTTTGCTTTCTCTCTAGACATCCTCACATATTTAAACGAATTCAACACAAGTTTACAAGGAAAAAAAATATTTGCTTATGATTTAATGTGGAAATTAAAAGCTTTTAAAATGAAACTTCTACTTTTTTCCACAAATCTTGCTGAAAGCAAATTTGATCATTTCCCATCCTTAAAGACCATTTCCGCAATAATTTTAAAAGAAAAAGCTCAAATGTATACTGAAAATATTCTGGCATTACGACTTGATTTTGAAAACAGATTCGAATGTTTTAACAGAATAGATAAAATATTGTCGATTGTTAGAAATCCATTTACTGCAAATATTGAAGAAGCTTCTCCAGATATTCAATTAGAATTAATTGCATTACAGTGTGATCAATTATTGCATGATAAATATCGAGAAGAGGAAGATAATTTGTGTAATTTTTATAAGCAATTGGATAGTAAAAAATACGTAAATCTAAAAAATCTTGCCAAAAAATATTTAATAATATTTAGTTCAACTTATATTTGTGAACAGACATTTTCTTTAATGAATCACAATAAAAGTCCTACAAGATCGAGATAAAATGATTTACATTTGGAGGCTGTATTAAGATTAGCCACCACAGAAATTAAACCTGACATTAAAAAGATTATAAACGAGGCAAACCGCCTCAATATTTCTCATTAATTATTATAGTATATTTGTTATTATTAAAATGTTTATTTTGTATTATTCTATATAGATATTTGCTGTAAGTTACCTATGATTTATATGTATTCATACATAGAAGCGTATATATATATATATATATATATATATATATATATATATATATATATATATATATATATATATATATATATATATATATATATATAAAGCGAAGGACAGTAACGGGGCTACTGGTAACACACAAACAAACTGTTAATTATTGGGACCACCCCAACTTCGATGGATCGCGGTAAAGGGAGCAATAAAAGATGTTGAAGCTCAAAGCAAAGTGGCAATTTATTGTAATATCTAGCTTTCGCCCATGGATACAGGCTTCATCAGGACACTAAGTCATATAGAGAACAAAAAAAAACACTTCATCAGAGTTAACAATCTAACCAAAAAATAGTTAAAAAACTTACACAACACGCCTCTTTCAACCTCTACATATAGAGAGATGACATTGGTATATAAAATAAAGTGTTTCGCCCGTTATAACTATCAACATAACACTCGATGGATGAGATTTATGGAAAAAATTTACAATTGTAAAAAATATTAACCTCCACCACAACGTTACAAAACAATCCCACTAACATAAAACGTTAAGGTCAATAAAATATCCGGATTGATAAAATATTAAAAGATGAAAAAAAAACAGCCGATTTGTTACAAATGACACTCCGTATTGTCGAGAAGGAAAACTAAATGTGCGGGAACTTATTAACAATTCGCAATAACCTAAAAAAGCCACAACCAAAAATCAGTCAATGATACCAACTGTACAGTCAACCATAACACATGTAAAACACCAAACAAGGGAGGGAATTTTAAACAGAATTCTTTCAAATATGCACCCATTGTACACTATTTATATAACTATGTTTACATTATTGAAGTTAACGTTAAGGGTAATTAGAAACAATCCTTTAGGACGGGGAGAAAGAAACAAAGAAAGGAAACTGTTTTTAAACATTAATAGCTATCTTTAACCCTAAACTTATTGAAGCTACTAAAAGACTTATAAAGAATTTGACTGATAAATTTAGCTAAGGGTTGCGTCGACGCACCTACACATGAAACAATAGGGCGTAAAGGGTAACCATCTTTATGTATCTTCGGCAACCCATAATATTTGGGGCAGACACCATTGTAGGTTTTGAAGTTACGAGCCGTGGTATCATCAATATAGCCAAGGTTGTTAATTTTCTTGATAATATTATTGCTTTGCGTTTCTATTGAATGTGTAGGGTCCCTTATTACAGGTAGGTAAGTGTTAGCATCATTTAATAATAAGAGAGATTTTTCTATGTAATCTTCTTTAGTCATAGCCACCGTGACATTACCCTTATCAGATTTAGTGATAACCAAGTTAGGATTAGCTTTTAAAAATCGTTTCGTACGACGCTCTATATCATATGTAGGTGGGGCGACACTAGCAACAACACTAGAATTAATGTAATTAGTGATGAGATTAGTGGCCCTCGTTCGCAGGAGGTGTCGTTTTTGTTCATCTGAGTTCTGGATAATGATTTCTACCTCAGAGAGTAGTTTAAAAATATCTATATGTTGAGGTGACACAGGAAGGCTAAATTTAGGACCAAGCGAAAGAAAACCCCTAACATCATCAGGAATCTCAATATTGGACACATTCTTGAACTAATTAGAATTGTCAGTGGTATATAAATCACTACTATTAGCTTTTCTTGATTTTAACTTTCGAAGGTTAGACTTTTTTATCTTGTTTAATTTACATTGGTCATACTTCACAGAAGTTAAAAAAACGGCTAACACTTCATAAAAGTGATTGTAAGTTAAAACCAAATATTATTAGTTTAAGTGCTCATGTCAATGATACCGGACATAGTGTCATGTACGATGAAGCGGTAGTATTAAAGAGTGAAAAGAACCTCTTCAAACGTAAGTTTTTAGAGATGTATTATATTAACTGTTGTAGTAATAGCCTCAACAGAAAGAAGGATGTTGAGGGTCTTAGTAGCATCTACACCTATCTTCTTAATCAGAGTCGTACTGCGAAGCATAAGCTACCAGAGTTTTTTGATACGGTCAGGTTGTAGTGGGTTGCTAAATTTGTTGCTATTAATGTTTAAAAACAGTTTCCTTTCTTTGTTTCTTTCTCCCCGTCCTAAAGGATTGTTTCTAATTACCCTTAACGTTAACTTCAATAATGTAAACATAGTTATATAAATAGTGTACAATGGGTGCATATTTGAAAGAATTCTGTTTAAAATTCCCTCCCTTGTTTGGTGTTTTACATATGTTATGGTGGGCTGTACAGTTGGTATCATTGACTGGTTTTTGGTTGTGGCCTTTTTAGGTTATTGCGAACTGTTAATAAGTTCCCGCACATTTAGTTTTCCTTCTCGACAATACGGAGTGTCATTTGTAACAAATCGGCTGTTTTTTTTTTCATCTTTTAATATTTTATCAATCCGGATATTTTATTGACCTTAACGTTTTATGTTAGTGGGATTGTTTTGTAACGTTGTGGTGGAGGTGAATATTTTTTACAATTGTAAATTTTTTCCATAAATTTCATCCATCGAGTGTTATGTTGATAGTTATAACGGGCGAAACACTTTATTTTATATACCAATGTCATCTCTCTATATGTAGAGGTTGAAAGACGCGTGTTGTGTAAGTTTTTCACTATTTTTTGGTTAGATTGTTAACTCTGATGAAATGTTTTTTTTGTTCTCTATATGACTTAGTGTCCTGATGAAGCCTGTATCCATGGGCGAAAGCTAGATCCCAATAATTAACAGTTTGTTTGTATATATATATATATATATATATATATATATATATATATATATATATATATATATATATATATATATATATATATATATATATATATATATATATATATATATATATATATATATATATATATATATATATATATATATATATATATATATATATATATATATATATATATACTTCTATGTATTTGTTATATCATTTATAGTCTCATAATGAAAATTTGTTCATTTTTTGTTTAAAATTTTTGTACTTTTTATTATAATGTTAATTTTATAATTATTATATATTATATATAGGTATTTGTTACATTATTTATATTTTTATAATATAATTTTTTTCATTTTTTGATTAAAATTTTTGTATTTATTGCGCCTGGCCCGCGAAAAAAATTTTTTCAATCCGGCCCGTGACAAAAAACTGTTAGCCATGCCTGAACTAACCTAACACCTTAGCCAATTAGCTCGTTGACACACACGAGGTACACGAAAAAAACCAATGTATAATATTAAAACAAAAACAATTTAATGTGATGTTGAACACAACCATATAGAAGTTAGAAACTATAAATTGACTTAAAATCTCAATTGCATGCTTTGTTCAAATTGCGACCCTAAATTTACGAAGTTGTTAAAGTTCTTTGGAATAAAGGGCTACTAGTACTGCAAATACCTTCTTCTAAAATTTAGATATTAAAAAAAAATCTTACAAGCTACTTGAGTTTTTCCGTTGTTCAATGTTTTTACACGCCATTAAATTCATTTCGCGCCTTTGCATGACCTAATATTAAACCTACGTATATCACAAAACAAGCCTGTAAGATATTCGCTATATTCCGAAGCAACTAATTTTGCTTTTCTTTTAATTTTGGAGCCCTACAGTACTTCACAATTCTGTAAACTGAGTAGAAAAGCGCGAATAACGTGGCAAATATTGCTGCGAGAACGTCGAGCATCAAATACTTGTACAACGGCAACTTAACTCCAGCAACTTGCAGATGTGGTGCCCCCTTGTGTCTTATAACATAGTCGACCCAGTATGCGGCTAAATTCATCGGTTTAACTGGACGGTCGTGCATTAGCTGGGACCTATATTTCGCATTCTGTAAGTACCTGCAAAGAAACGTTAATAAGTCAGGTCAGGTTCATTTAAAGTAAAAATAATAGTTTTTTACTGCAGAATTTGTCCACAGGTCATCTTAAATCTTTATTCTTTGGTAATGATTCACTAGAAAGCAAGGAACGATGTGACAAAGGCATATTGGAAGATTGGGAATCGTGCGCAGTGGATTCGCAGGAAGTGTATGCGATTTATGAGAATATTGGTGGAATGGTTAACTCAGAAGAAGAAGAAGAAGATTAAGACCCGTGCACCAACAACCGAGAATAATGCTGTAGCCCAAAGTGTTGAAGAAAACCCAGGTTAGGTTTGTAAATTCTTCTTCGTGGTTTTTTGAAACTGGGCATTCCACAAACGTCATTACATCGTATTTTGCATAAAGACTTATAGAGACATGTAAAGTTCAAGCCGGTCGGCCATCAACAACGTCGTGTTTTTGCTGATTCGGATGAGGCCCTATTCCGCCTCGAGACTTCTTCCTTTGGGGCCACGTGAAAGATAACGTCTACGTCAATAGCCCAACCTTCAAATATTCTTGAAGCTATGGAATTTGTTGATGGAAAACATCATGAAAAAGATACGGTTATAGTTTTCCAAATCAAATCAAAATAACACCTCTTATTGAGAAACCCAATATATATTTAGAAATTGAACTGAACATTTGATAAAGACACGGTGTTGTCGAAACAATTGTCATGTCATAATATATAATTTCGTGAAAATCTTTTAGTTCTTATTTATTTTTATATTATTTAGACTAGACTTGGTTCGACACCCATGACACTATAAAAGAAAGGTGTCAAAATTCTGCATCCTGCATACCTGCACCTAGAGGGAATGTGATTTGAGGGAAGTTTGGGTGCGTTGAGAGCTTTCAGAAAAAAGCATTAAGTATGGCTCATTAGACTATCTTCAGGACATGACAAGTGAACTTTTTAAAAATTGCTTAAAAAATTCTCTACTTCCAAATATCCCACCAGCGTAATAGCTTATAACAATGCTGCAGAACATTATTATAAGCAAAGCAACGGTCAGCAGCAAAAAAGAGGTATTGCAAGAGTTCCTTAGTCAGCATGACCTTTATTTTGAAGTTATTTATATAAAAAACCAAGTAATTGAAAAACGAGGTCATAAAAAAATCCGGTAATATGCCCCCATCGTACATATACTATTCTATATCATATATGTATAAATGAAATAAGCTGAATTAAAAAACAAAGTTCGACGCAATAACATAATCCCAAAGACGTCCGACCAAGAAATTGATGTTATTAAAACTCAATGTGAGTTAATACCAGAGAGCAATTGTAAAGCAGGTGTTATTAATCATGCACTTTAAGTGGACAATATTTATAGAAAAACTTGGGTCAACTTAAAACCATTAATTATATTCTCGGATGATAGTGAATGATTTGAACTACTCTGACGACTAATTTTATTTAATATGTGTTTGTTATGGATAAAATCATAATTATACAGTGCACAATTCAACAGAATGTAATCGAATATTTTGTTTTTAAATTTCCTTTCGTTTCCTTTTTCGATTTTCTGAACATTCTGAACATTCTCGGTAATAAATCTCAAACAAACAACAAACAAAAGTTAGCTCAAACTCAATATCATTAAAATGTTTAAAAATATGAGAAAAATTCAAGAGACGAAAAACTAGTAATTACAGTTGTTTTATCTCAGAGATTTTTATCAATAAATTTTGTAAAGTTGACCCCCACCCCCCGAGTTCCATGGTTTGATTTTTATTTAGTTAGTTCAAATCAGCCCTTTGTCACTAGAAACAACTCTGTATCTTGATAACAATTTCCGGACCTTTTTTTATCAGAACTTTTTTCATAAATGATTCTCAGAAAGCACCGCTCTTTAAATATTTCCGTGCCTTTTTTAACCACCTTGTATAGGGTAATGGTTAGAAAAAATACAGTCGGAATATATAAAAGCACCTAAAAGTTATTTTTAAAATTACGTGCAAGGTTGATTGATCACACATATAAAAATATTTCTGAAATAGCCTATAACCATTTTTTGCTTTATAATAGATATTGCGATAAAAATTATCTTCGAATACATAAATAAATTCGAAATCATGACTAAATAGGAAAATATTGTACTGTCATGACAATATATGTAAAAGTGTTTAGTAAATAATGAAAAATTAATTTCAAATTAACTGATAATAAGAATGAATGTAACTCAAATTTGATTTTGTTTCCAAAAATTTTATTGAGAACTACGCATTAGAACATTTATAACGATTACATTATTAAAATTAATATTTTAAATAAAAAGCGTTCTTTTAAAGGAGACAGATTGGTATGGGCTCCTATTCAAAGATACCTTTATTTTTTTGGAACAACCGAAATCGCTTGTGATATGCAGAGTGCTTCATTAAAAAAAATCTGCTTGGAGTATTTTTCAAAGAAACTTTTTATAAAACTTCTGGATTCCTCCTACGTCGGTTTTTGTTGACTCGAACTAGCTAACGTTTCGCCAATCATCCTGCTGGCTTCTTCAGAGTTTGACTGAAACTGGCTCGCATTTTAGTCTGTACCTGCTTTTATATTGTTTGAGAGGGAGCTAAATTAGGGGCATAAATACGGTCTCGGATGACTGATGCCCATATTGGTGACAGGTAGAGACCTGAGTCGCGGTTAAGATTATTAGGTTGTTTATAGATTTCTATAGACTCTCGGATAAAAAGTATATTTTGAAATGGAAATACCATTTTGACAAAATATTTACCGTTTTAGGTTGTTTTCTGTTGTCGTTAGTGGACAAATGTTTAGCAAACAAGGCCATCCTTATTTTTTAGGAGGAATCGATTCACAAAATAAAATATAAATTTAGTTTTGCAATTTGATTCCATAAAAAACATTAGGACCATTTAGAAAGCAAAATTTATTGAATTTAACTTTTATACGAAAATCAAATGACTTCCGAGGAACATCTTGTGTGTGACACTCCTTAGAGGGATATTTTTATATTCGCATACTCACCTACAGGGGTTAAAGAAAGACACCGAGAAAAACGTTTAATACAAAAGTTGTAGTTGGATACGCAAATATAAAAAATAACCCTGTACATTGAAGGCAACGAAATTTTCAATAAATCAACATTTTCACCAAACTTGGTGCTAGTTAAACCATACGAGATTGTCATCAGTTTATTCTTTAGGGGCTTCCCTGGTCATCGAGGTGCAAATTACATTACTTGGAAATGCTACCGATCACTGTTTGCGAATAATTTGAGATCCACTTAACTCTGTTAATAACACGCCCATGTCAAGGTTGCTTGTATAGAAGCAAATTGCGAGGTTTAAAGTCCGATTTAGATAAAACGTTTAGGTTACCTACACCGTAAACTCAAAATACATATAGCAATCTGTTTTATATAATTATGGCCGAACTAAATAACTCAAAGGATATATTACGGTATATCATCTATGTTTTTTACCAGATTTAATGAATTGTATAATTATATAATAATTAATACAACAAATATCAAAGCACATAAAGTTGAGCTTAATTTTATGAAGAATCCATATCCAAAATGAAAAACAGTGTGCTCCACTAAATTTTTTAAGGTTTTTGTGGCATTATGCACAATTTCAAATGATTTTAAAGTATACGGGGAGACAAAAAGACGTGCAATATATATTTTTTAAAAGAAACTATTTTTAAATTATGATTTGAATTCGCTTTGAAATGTTTTAACTTTTTTCATTAATAATAATAGATACGTAATAGCTTTTCCAATATTTTTTTGTAAAAAAATATTAGTGCCAAAAAATTACGATAGATTTTTTTATATAAGCGTCAAACAAAAACCTACAACTTGTTATATACCTATTTTTAATAGTTTGCGATTTAGTTTATCTTATCCAATATTTACAAATAACATTGTCAAATGTTTACCTGACAAATGACTAAATAAATTCATGTCGTGTTTATGTGAATCTCCTACAACACCAGAAGATACGGAAAAAAGGATTCGGTAAGGAGAATAACATCGTTTATGATAAGAAACGTTCAAGAAAATATACGCAAAAGGTTAAACAGTTGTCGATATGTTTGAATATCTATTGCAAATTAAGTAAATTTGTAGTAATAGGTATTTGATTATTATTTACTTTTTCTGTGAATTTATAATTTGGCTGTTATTTTCAACAAAATTACTAATAAATGTCTGTTGCTTTATCTACGGGTCCAACAAAATTCTCTCTCCTGCTCCTCTTTTAATGTTAACAGAGACCTGTTGATTAATAATTTTATCATAGCCAACTAATACAGTAATACTCTTAGACAGAAAGAAGAGTGAATATTGGAAAAGTTAAAATAAATCGCAAAGCATTAACAATAGGTATATGACATTCATAATATCAATTTTTGCAAGGTTTTTCCGAAAAGGTAATAATATATATGGTGTGCCATTTAAGAAAACCGAAATATTAAAATTTACAATGATCCAAATATATTCGTTTATTTTGAACACCATGTAGTATCTATTTCAAATTCCATCTTTTAAGGAGACTTCGAGTTAAAGTTAATATCAAATATGATTAACGTTCGAAAATAATGGCGATATCGTTTTTTTTGTGTGAAAAGTTTCATAAAAAAGGTTCAGTTTAAAAGCGGCCTTTGTTAAACTTCTTGCTTCTTAGATAATAAAGAACAAAAAAATAAAGATTTCTTCTTTGGCTTTGTTTAAATGGCAACACATTTTCGGAACCGTTGTAGTGACAGCGACTAGCTTAGTTGTTGAATTTCAATTTCAAGTTTCAATTTTCCGCAATTTTAAAAAAGGCATTTCTTTTAAAACGGTCAAAGCTAAATGGAATAACTTTATATGCTTAATTTTCAAAATATATTGTCACTAAAATAGTATATTCAACAAGTTTGATGTTCTTGTGAGCAAATGCTCGATAAAAATAAATAAGAACTAAAAGTTCAGATTTTCACGAAATTATATATTATGACATGACAATTGTTTCGACAACACCGTGTCTTTATCAAATGTAATATTTACAAACTACCTGCTACTATATATACCGAAAAATGATAATAAAACCTTAATTAATGTTGGTTCGAGAATTTAAGTTCCATAAAGGAGAGGTATTTAAATCTAATTGATCGTTAAGCAATACATTTGAATGTCTCATTTTGTTAATCTCCATGGCTTCCAATAAATTCAATTTTCTACTTTTTGTGGCTGTATGTAATATATCAAATATTATCAAATATATCAAAATTTATTGGAAACCATTGAGATTAACAAAATGAGACGTTTAAATGTATTGCTTAACGATCAATTAGATTTAAATACCTCTCCTTTATTTAACTTAAATTCTCGCAACAACATTAATTAAGGTTTTATAGTCATTTTTCGGTATATATAGTAACAGGTAGTTTGTAAATATTACATTTGATAAAGACATGGTGTTGTCGAAACAATTGTCATGTCATAATAAATAATTACGTTAAAATCTGAACTTTTAGTTCTTATTTATTTTGATAAATGGATTTTCATCAAGTAAAAGCCATCTCAGTTCAAATGCTCAATAAACGAGTGAATGAAGGAGTCTTGGTTGAAATAAACGCGTGGGTTTATTATAATAAATATGCAAATATTCCAAAAAAAAAGAGGCCTTGAAACTAATAAAATGATTTTTACAAAAGATGAAGCTGCACAGTTGTGCAGACAACTATTTTTTTCTTCGACTTTTCAATTTTTTTATAATATAGGTGAATTTTTTAATATATAAGTAGTATGGTGCTACTTAAGATTTGTAGTAATTTTTACAAATATTTTTGTACTCAGTTGTCTTCTCTCTGGGTAAAATAAAATAAATCGCCCATCTTCAAAGAGAGTTGGTTTCAAAAAACTATAATGATTCAATTAAACTCGGAAGTCGATATCTCAAAAATTATTATTTATTATTACGTAAAAAAAAATTTTGAATGTTTTTTTTTTGTAAAGAATAATATAGATATGAATCAACACCGATTTCACAAGAATCGTTCAGTACTTACAAACCTTATTCCTTTAATCCATAATATTTAATCTTTCTATGCACAATGGCTTTGAGACCTGTGCTGTGTACACCCGTGTACATTGATTTTTCTAAGCCTTTTGACAAAGTTCATCGCGACGCAGTGTTGCAAAGTTACCTAACCGACAGAACTCAGTTTCTGGTTGTGAAAGCTGAAAAGTGAAAGTGAAAAGAAATCCATTCCCAATCGGATCTCCAGATTTTCGACGGGTTTACTATGTGCTGTAAAAATCACAGACTTTTTAAAATGTCCATAAATGCCAAATAATATATTATTCAACAAAGAAGAGGAAAACTGACTTAGAATTAGACAATAGAAAACTTAACATTTGAAACACATGTAGAAACTATTGTAAACAAGGACTTGAAAAATTTTGCTTTTCAATTAAGTAACAAGTAAGTAAGTAAGTAAGTAAGTAAGCTTTTAGCAACCACAAATCAGTCATTTTAATTTATAATAGGGTCATCAGATCAATCTTGGAAGACTGCGATTAGATAGAGAGTGTTTAAAAAAAGCTTTTTTGAAACTGTAATTTCATATATAATAGAGACAGACACTATTTTTCGTATGAAAATAACCTACAGACTTATAACCTAAGGTCGCTTGAAATACAGAAATTGTTCCGATGTAATTATTCTTTACAAATTTGTCAACAATCTTATTGATTCGCCTCTCTAACTTTTCTATAGAAAGAATCAGAGCTTTTTCCGAACAACGAAGATACGGACTTATTCAACTTAAGCCTAAATTTGTTTAGAAGAGACAAAATTACTATCTATTAGCTTAGGAAATATCTAGATAAGTTTCTTTTTTATTCCTGACCATGTAATCTTGTGTTTAATGTGCGCTATCCTGTAATTGAGCAGCCTCGCCTACCAGTTGGTTATACTTTGGGTTTGTAAATGCATAAATAACTACATGGCGTAGTTTTTTCACGGAATATATGAAACAATAAAGTTGACGATGATTTCGCCCAAAACGAAACGTTGCACTTAAAATCTCTATCTTGTAAAGCTCAAAAAGTGGCAAAAAGAAAGTGACCCTTATTGTTTATGTCCCTTTAAATAACACCAGAAAAAAATGAAAACAAAATAGGAAAATTTCGTTTTTTTTTGGCGTATCTTCGGAAGTGATGCGAATTTTTTAGTTTTTCTTTTTTTATATTTTAAGCACTTTGTACCTCTTATGGTTTCCAATATCCCCATAATAGATATCCTTACCTTGAACATGCCGTTTTATATCGGGCGATGTATTGGCGAACGAAAGATAGGAAATCCCAGGTAAATTGTAATATAATATTTTGAAGAGGAAGGTATAGTTAACACATGTGCCAAGTTTGAATAGATTTTAATAAGCCAATCTTCAGTTATTGAATTAAACATGATGGCAAAATTGCAAAAGGTCAATACAACGAACAACAGCGAAAGATATGAACATTTGGTTCATCATTGTTTTTTTTCAGGATCAAACTCATACTCAGTTCTTAAATCCTCCTTGTCCCTTAAAGTCTTCTTGGAATGAATTTTATTTAAAGGAAGGTTTAAGCAACAAGGAAGCTTCAAGGACTGACTATAAATTTGACAGCCAAGTCTTTTATTAAAAATAATTAATAATTATAATAAAAATACAGCTATAAAACATTGCTAAAATTTTCAAACAACCCTCCACTAACAGATAAACAATTCCAAATACTGACACATTCTAAAGAAAGAGCGTTTTGTGACTTGGTCAGATTTTCAAATTTAACATTTTATTGATAACACTTTTTAAGTGAGCCCACATAAAGAAGTCGTTGGGTGAGAGGTTAGATGATCTGGGGGCCAAAGGATTTGGCACCTTGGGCCAATAATATTCCGGGTAAAAGTATTTCCAAATACTTTCTAACCATATTATTATGGGCGGGGCAACCATCCATTTGGTACCACATCTCCTAATCTTCGCGAACAACTTTTTCTAGTGGGGAATTAATTTGAGGTTGTAGTTTATAAAATATGGCCCAATAATATGGTGTTCGCAAATTCCCACCATAACGTTTATTTTTTGAGGATATTGGCTTCGAGAGTGAACAAAACAATATTCATTGTCTTGGCTCCAATAGTGACAATTTTGAATATTTAGTTCGTTGTTGAGTGTGAGTGTACATTCATCAGTAAAATAAATATAAAAAAAACTATCATTATTTACTTTTTCTATTTTTATTAATTATATGTCTTCATCGCCTTCCCGGAGCTCTTGGTGTTTTCCTCCAAATGCATTAAAATGCTCAAATCTCTATTATCTCTATTTTTATTCTGATCTATTATCTACATTTTTAGCTAACATTTGCAGTTATTTATTATGGTGCCTTTGGAGCCGAATTGGGTAGTGAAACGTTTAACTGTTGAAATATAAGGTATAAGTTTAACAGGAAAATAAACTAAAATCATTTCAGACACTACTCGAAGACTGCTGACTGCATAGTACGGCTTAATTATGGTCACTTCTTCAATTGAATAACCCATATTTAGCTTTAATATTGTTACTGTCACGCATTCTCGTGCAGTCATTGTCAAAATGTATTTTACTAGTATTTGATTTATTACCTATACTATAAAAATTTTATAATTTTGCTAACATATTTAATTCAATAACTGAAGATTGGTTTTTCAAAGAAACTTCCACAGGCTACTGTAATACTTTTTACAAAACTTCTGGATTTCTCCAGGAGGAATCCAGAAGTTTTGTAAAAAGTAACTGAAGATTGGCTTATAAAAATTTATTCAAACGCTGCACATTTGTTAATCATACCCGCCCATTCAAAAAGTTATATTACAATTTACCTGGGATTTCCTATGGGAGCCAATATTTGGGCGCCTAAAAATTTACATGGAATTTGGTTAGTTTTGGTTAGTTAGTAATTTCAAGTGTGCAAAAAGTAAATGGCGCATTTTCGAGTAATGTATCTTCTCTTTTTGCGTTCAGATAGATCTTCTTAATCTAATATACAATTGAATCAAAAAAAATTTATGGGATTTTCTACTCTCTATTTAATGTTGGATTGCATGCGCAAACAGATAGCATAATGTGATTATCAACCCGACCGATTATTTATTTACAAACTTATCAAGACGACCCACAATTTTTTTTAAATGTCAGTTAACGCGATCGCCCGCCATTTTCTAGACCTGTTATCAAAATACGCACTGATCTTGAATTCCGCGATTTATTTTATCAACTCGAAAATTTCGCCAAGATGGAAAATCAAAAAGAAAAAAAATAGAAAACTTACTTTGGATTATCCAGTATTTCGTCAATAGCTTGTTCCAAATTATTTTCGTTTATCTTAGAGAAATCGATAAATTTTCCCACTCCGAGAGTGGTTGCCCGCGCAGCATTCAATTGTTGGTCGCCAAAAATGGGAAAACCAAGAATGGGTACTCCATGGTAAACTGTCTCCGTGGTGCTCAGTAGTCCACAATGTGTGATGAATAGTTTAATATTCGGATGGGCTGAAACAAACTCAGTTTCACGAATTGCATACTTAAATTTGAGATTCCTTGTTACTTTCGGTATATGCATGTCAGGTGAGGTTTCCTTACCATGATCAGTATGGGGAAAACATTGGGAGAAAAAGAGGTTGATGAAATTTGTTGGGTTTATATGAGGCCCGTTATTATGATGACTCATTTTTAGAAGTTTTGAGACTGGAGAGACTGGCAATAACAGCTACGAGAACCTTGTAGAACGTTCCCAGTGTAGCAATTGTTAAACAAAACTTTATGAGCAGCTTAGCTCAAGTGTTTGCCAATACTATGGTTAAAACTGTCGATAAAATTAGGAGAGGTGAGTATTGTTGTTTTACTTTCATTGTACTTGTGATGCAACAAAGATCTCCAAAGTACCTTACCTTTATAGTTTACATTTCTTTCAATGGAACCACCTTAAATTTTTAGAGCATGAAACTCCGCTTAAACACTTTAAAAGAATTGAAGTAGCACCTCTTGTCAAAGTAGATGTAGTAAGCCAACTAGCGCCCAATTCAATGTAGCTCATATTAGTATTAAAAAATTAATATATTTTAACAGTGAAGTTTCTTGTTTGTTACTGCCACAAACTGAATCTAACAAAAGAAACGTTACTTTTATATAGAAATGTCTATGCAAAGAATGTATTAACCTGAAAAAATATATGGGGTACAATTTCTTTGTTCAGAATATGAGAATAACACGGCGGAAAAAGTGTTGAAAATTCATCTTAATGCGCAGAATGTATTCATCAAATTTCACAAAAATAGGTATTTAGCACAGCTTCTTAGAGAGCGTAAGCCAAAGATTTTTTAGTGAAAACTTTATCACCTTTAAAGTTATGGTATACGAAGTATGTTCAAAAAGTAAGGTCCATTTTGCAATTGAGCGGGCTATGTACATTCGATCTTCAATATTTTTTGTTATGTTGGTACACATGTCCCTAACATATCTTCCTAGCTTCAGCCAGTTTGTAGCTTTATAATTTTTTTCTTTTTTGGTAGACAGACGCGTTAGACGTGTTTTATGTGCTCGAATATTCGCTGCTGTTAAAAAAAATAGAACAAAGGATTTTGCATAAAAATCTACTTTGAGCAAAAAAATGTGTATAACTGTTACAAGATGGGCGAGAAGACGGCGATGACGAACTTTGCTCTGGACGCCCCTGCATGTCAATAACTGATGAAAGCGTTGAAGAAGTGAAAACAAATGGCGTTGAAAAATCGTCGAATCACCATCAGAGACGTAACTGAAGACGTCAGCAATTCTATTTCTATATTCACGGGATATGGCCCCCTACTACTTTTTCCTGTTTTCAAAACTCAGAAAACCCATGAAAGGAAGGAGGTTCGGGATGATTGAGGAGATAAAGAAAAAAATCGCTGGAAGAACTCAAAGTTATACCAGAAAATGCTTACCAGAAGTGTTTCGCGGATTGGAAAAAACGTTGGCCCAAGTTTATTATATCTAAGGGGGATTACTTTGATGGGGACAACATTAATTTTGATAAAGAAATAAATACATTTTGATAAAACTTAAAACTCACCTTAGTTTTTGAACACACCTTGTATATTGCTATGATATTTGTTATGAAGATGAGCTCAAAAATTATCGCCTTCAGAATTGACGCACAAATACGAAACACCCTGCTAGCTTAAAACTACCTACTCACCTAATACATCCTGCTGAGGAAACCACTTGGACAGCTTGAAGTTTGGAGGCTTATTAGGTAATGAATCTTGGTCCCATTTCCATAAAATGTTTTCCTTTCTGGATCCCAAAACTTTCAAAATTGTATCCCTCGTTATATTGGGCATCTGAGATGGAATTACATTAGAGCCCAAACTGAAATAGATGGCACCGTCTTTCGAATTATCCAGGAAGAGTTGCAAATCTTTCGGTAACTTTTTGGATGGAGTAACGTGGTACCCTCCGATGGGAACCATATTCGGAACTATCGGAACCGGTCCATTAATACTTTCGTGAGAGTTCAGGAAGATTAAGGAGACATTATATATGACGTCGTTGAGATCTGGGCCATCGGGATAATATTTCTTCAATATATTATTTTGACTCGGATAAACTAGTAAATGCGTATTCAATTGGCTAAATATTCCAAACAAAAAATTATACAACCGTTCGGTGAAGCTCATTTCGTTATCGAAATTTAAAAACAAGTTTGGCACGTAAGCTGGCGGTTCCGGATTTCCAACCAAACCGTTTATCCAAAAATTGGGTCCTAGGCTGCTTGCAATTATTAGAGGTGCCTTGAAGTGATAAGCGAAAATCTTCAGGGCATCATTTACAAACTGTTCCACTACGACTGCGTCAAAACGTTCTTGGGATTTAAGCAGATTTTGCACTTTGTGATGTGCGAAGAATTCTTCGGTAATTTCCTGGCACATGCTGTTCAAAAACAAGCTTTGAAGTATTGGTGGGGTATCTCCAAATTCAAATAAACTGAAATTCCTCTCAATTCGCTTCCCTGAAACGAAGAAGAAACAGAAACTTACAAAACATGGAAGTAATATTTTTGCATTTTTTAAAGAAACTTCCCCGGGCTGCTGTTATTCTCGGATTCATAATTGTGTTCGGCAACTGCTGATAAGTTTATTTGTCGGGGTTTTAAGGCTATTTTGTGTTGTTTGTCGAGTATGCACGCAATGCTGTAAATTCCTGATATCTCAAACTCAAACTCTTTGACGGATCGAAGATGTTGAGACATTTTCTGGTGAATCTCACGTTATATCTCTCAAGAACTTATGATATGTGGTCAGTGCTGTTTTGAATGAAAGGAAAAGTGTGGGGTTGCTTTCAGATAGATGCAGATCTAACTGGTTTACATAGTAACTGTTTCCTCCCTTCATCCCAAAAACTAGGATGCTTTCTTTCTTCACTAACAACTAACTCTCCTTAGCGGACTCCAATACATTCTTAATTCATCCTTCTTGCAGCTATTGTTTATCATAAACTTATTGTCAGGTAAGTGTTTATTCTATTTCTCCTCATGAGTCAGTATACTGTTTGCACCACTCAAAGCTCAACACATTTCGCATACGTGTAATGTCTTCATGTTTCAGAATATAGTCATAATTTTGCAGATTTATCGCTTATCTAATAATACGTCTATTAATTTCTCGTTTACTCAACGCCAACTTAACAGAGCTGCAATCTGTCACGATCTCAAGACGAATGCCTTGTAAATAGATGCGAATCTCTCTAAATAATTCACTCAACTTCAAAACTATGCCATTTTGACTCTGCCGCCGTAGTCCTTTTGTTGTAATATAAAACAGACTTGAAAAGTGAATTTTTATGCAACAGGATCTGAACTGGAAGCATCGCAATGAAGCTCTGCTTCTAATTTGGGGGAGTAAATTGCCATAGGGAGCTGAGTGGAGCATATGCTTTAGAAAAGATGGATAGGTCTCTCCCACTAAATTTTAATTTCTTAGCTTTTTTTATTAGGTTATATAGTCGCTTTGCATGAACCGAAAATTACTCTTTCAAACACCTAAAATAGGACGCTAGTTCTAAAAATCTTGGACTTGTGTTCTGTCAGCCTAAAAAAATTACTAAATACGCCAGTTCACCAATCGCCGCTAATATATTTATGGAAGCTTTTGAGAAGAAAGCTCTCGATGTTCCTCACCTCAAACCAAAATCATGGAAGTGCTACGTTGATGACACTTTTGTTATTTAGTCACACCGAGATTTTCTTAGGCATTTAAACTCTGTACACCCTAACATACGTCTTACATTTGAATTAGAAACTAATAATAATCTCGCCTTCTTAGATAGTCTTATCACAGAAAACCCATGTACAAAAACCGATACCTTAAAGGTCAGGATTAAAAATCATCGGCTATCTTTTGCTTACCGAGTCGTAAAACTATTTCAACCCGAGTCACTGAACTGACAATTTAATAACCTTACACATTAAGTGTTCCATCACTAAATACATTTCACCAAAACCTTCCAAAGAAAATGAGTCGGTAGCAACCCCACACTTGTCATTGTGGTTCTTCCTTATATTCAAAATATCACTGATCACATATCAAAAGTCCTTAAGAAATATATTGTTAAAATTTAAATTTCTAAAACCTCTCATTGATTCGTCATTGACAAATTTCTGGTTGAGATACCAAGAGTTTACAGGATGCGACAAAGAATTTATTGGAGAAAGAGGTCCAAAAATAACAACTAGGCTAAAAGAACATGATATAGCAATAACACTATGACAAATACACTCATCAGCACTTACCGAACACAATTATAAAACCGCAGATCAAATTTTATTCGATCTAGCTAAAATTCTAATCTCCAAACAACTAAACAATTTTAACTGTCACTCTAGTCTTAACGTTTCACCCATATGGGAATCAGTCACCCGAGGCAATTTTCATGCACCCTCCCTTAGTATATAAACAGGTACAGAGTATAGAGTACAATACATGCCTGTTTTAGTTCTGAAGAAGGCAACAGGATGACAACAATAATTGATCGTCCGTCCTGTATCTTTAAAACAAGTAACATTTTGCTACTTTGTATTCGCATTATACCTATCTAGGATCGACTGTCAAATTACAAAATCTCACTGTTTCGACATTCCAACGCCGAGACTTGCCGAAACGAGACCGAGCGTCGAGAAAGAAACTGAAGTGATAAAATGACACTTTCCGCACGCTGGATCGGTGTATAGGTATTTTATTTTATAGAAGGGAGTAGAAATAGTATATTATGCAATAAGCGCGGTAAACGGCATTTTGACTCACGAGTTTATTTGACAGGAGCGGAGCACAGCGGAGCGAGTTTGTAATAAACGAGTGAGTTAAACAGTTTACCGAACGTGTTGCATACTATACTGTTTCTACGCCAGTTAGTTTTTGGGTACATTTTTGCAAAACAACACAAATACATTCATTGACATGACCGATAGAATTGACAAACGTCAAAATACAAAGCGTGGGAAATATTTTTGAAAATATCCGATTGCTCCCAAATCCGTCCGGTAAAATTCCGAAAATGTCCGAAGTGGCTCGGATTCGTGGGAAACGAAACTGACGTGGTAAAGTGGCGCTTTCCGCACGCTAGACGGGTGTAGACAAAATTTATTTACCTACCTTATTTGATAAGTTGTAAGGCAACGCCCCCTACCGTTTAGTGTCAAACGCATATGGTTTTTCACCTGGAAGGTAACGCTCGCAAACAAGGCGTAACCAGATCAGATCTAACCTGTCTCCGCTAGGCTAGAGGGCAAGTAGAGCAAAAAATGGTTCACACAAAAAAATCCGAAATGAGTTGAAGATTAGGAATCCCTTTTTTAACACCGATTCCTTGTACCAAATTTGGTAAAATTAGCTTTTCAAAAAATAATCCAGCAATTTCTTGGCTTAGTCGTACACCTTCGATAATAGGAAAATGAACTTGCAGATGCAGATATTTCTGTCAAATTACGTCTTTTTAGTTTTTCAAATAACTTCCAATCACAGTGGAGTACCTTGCCTACGTTGTTATTGTTCAGGACTTCAATCTATATTGCACCGAAACGATTTATTTTTAGTAATAATTTCAAACTGATTCTTAATGTGCTGCCACTTAACTAGGGGTCGATAAGCAAAACGTAATACCTCTTACCCTCCCACTTTTCTAGGATTCCATCCAAGACGATTTGCCCAAAGTTTTCAGGGGACTGTTTTTCTTCAAACGGGCTTACGAGAGTCACATTGAATCCGTGGTTTGCCAAACCCTTTGCCAAACTATTCCCCAGTATGTAGTGGCTTTTTCCCGGCATGGGATAAATGATCAAAACGTTCGCACCGTATCCGCATGCCACAAAAAACAGCACAAAAATAATGATAAGTCCGTTATTCATTTCCGAGTATTATCAGAAAATGCACACGTTATCACACGCGCTGAGCTGACGACGTCGACGAAATGTTTAATGGATGTTTGATTCGTTTCTTTAAGTAATTACAGCGGCCAATGTATCTGCCAGGGACTGCTCAGGAAATTCTCCGTTACGCTTCGCGCGTGTTGTGTGTCCCAACAAAAACGACACAAACCAAATGGTAAATACAAAAGTTGTAAAGATAAACTATTTTAAAGTATACAGGGTCGGTCAAAACAGCGTGACGAATAAGACATACAATTTCAAATTTAAACTTAATAGTTTTTCCAATATTTTAATTATTCTGGGAAAATAGTAATTTTTCGAAGATAACGGAATTTGAATTAGATGCTACAGGGTGTTCAAAATAAACGAATCTGTTTGGATCAGTCTAAATGAAAAAATCTTTCTTAAATGACACACCACATATAGGGTTTTTCATTAAGGGTGGGTCGATGTTGGAATGGAATAAAACAAGCTGTGAGTGAGATATTAACAAAAATTTTATTTTATTTGAGAGGCCTATGAATTACATTGTTTATGAAATTAAACATCATTTAAATGTCCGCCGTGGCTTCTCACGGTAGGCCAAATTTCAATGACTCTTGCACATAATTGTGATTGAATTTGAGCGATTGATTGGGTTATGTTGGCTTTAAGGGCTTCTATAGATTGCGGCTAACTGGCATAGACCTGCTACTGTAGAAAACCCCACAAATCTAGCGGAGTCAAATCGCACGATCTTGGTCTCTAATTTACGTACCCGCGAAATGTTTACGAAGAAGCTCCATCGTGGCGTCTGCTGTATGGCAGGTGGCGCCATCTAAGTAATTGGTTATTATTGTTCTGGTGACCGCCATTGGCGGTAATATCCTCGCCAACGTCGTTTACAAAAAAATAGGGACCAATAACACCGCCACCCCAAAATCCGCACCAAACTCTTTGTGGATGCATTGCTACCTGGTGAACCTCGTGTGGCTTGGTACCGTTCCATATACGGGAATTATGTTTGTGACCAAAGTTTGGATTCTGTTCTAAACATTCCAAAACTAGAATTTTGTATGGGTGCAGGTCTAAGTCCCGACATAAAGTTCGCCATGTTCAAGTCTGGGAAAGACCAAGTTCGAATACTCATTTTACAAATTTTAATCATTTGGACGTGCTGTTCAATCATAATCGTGTAACAACTTAAACGAATGCCGCCATAAGAACATGGTAGCTATTAACCGCCTACTTCGACCCGTCCCAATTGAAAAACCATTTATATTATTATTTTTTCTGAGAGTTCTTACAAAAACCTGCATTTATATACCATAGTATACCATATAGCTATTTTTATTGCTTTGCGATTTATTTTAACTTTTCCATTATTTACCCTTCTGTTTGTCTAATACTAAATGCTTTAATATTAGTTGGTCAACAGGGGTCTGTTAAGATGAAAAAACGAACGGGAGAAAGAACCTTGTGCGAGCTGAAAATAAAGCAATAGACAGTTATCAGCAATTTCGATGATAATAACTGCCAAATTTATAAGTTTACAGAAAAACTAAATTATATTAAATACCTATTACCACAAATTAACTTATCTTATTTTTAATTATTATTATGGCGCAATAAATGTTCAAAAATATCCCCTTTTTCTTCTGGATACACATGTTTAGTCTTTTTCGTATATTTTCTTGGACGTTCATTAGTATAAATGGAGTCATTCTCTTGCATACTATTTTTAATTATTTAAAAATTTCCTTCTCGATTGTAATGCGGAGGATCTCCATCTTGCTGAAACCACATTGTTGGATCTTAATGTTATCAAATTCTTGTTTTTGCTTTCTTGTTTTGGTCTTACACTTCTGGTACTCAGAATGGTTTAACAGTTGAATAAGAATGCATGTTATGATCAACTGCACCATTATTGCGAAAAGTTGCTTCATCGAAAAACATTATTTTAGAAAAAAAATTTGGATCGGCCTCTATTGCTTCATTTATAACCTGCAGAAGTTTATCCTTTGTTCAAAATTACGATCTACAAGTTCTTGGTGTAGTTCGATATAGAAGAGATGATATTTGTGTTTTCTAGTGGTGCGATTAAAGGTATATTAGGATGTATCGCACAAGCTAACTGCTTGACGGCTACCGACGCCGACTTGGGGATTATCTTTAACTTCAAGTAAAATTTTCAATTATTTTTAGTCATTTGTAGCATTTCGGTTTACGACTTTCCGTTTTCACGTAATGTTAACAAAAAGCGACGGATTTTATTTTTTGGTAGACGAATAAAAAGTTTATCTGGCGTTTTACGGGTTGAACTCAAACACGATGGCATGATTTGTAATACAGTTTTTCTGTTGCTTCTATTATTATCATATAAAGCACACTAAGCACAAATAGAAACTGACGTGGATTAAATACGCGCACTCCTTTACACGAGCCAAAAATAAACGAATACAAATAATATAATTCTTGGCCTATAGACGGAGGACAATCGAAAAGCAGCGGTATGACGTCAGGATCAACCCGCGCGGTTAGTGTCGTTTTAGGGAATAGCCGGGTGTCACAACTTGAATTACTCATTGCAATTTAGATATTGAGTTTTGATATTTGGTATGCGTCAGTTCTAAACATAAGCAAAAGCATTAATGGAATAAAAAAAATCAAGTTTCCTATTTAAATACCATTGCATATATCTTTCACGTCATCTTCGAATGACGCTAATATCAAATAATGGCGCTATCGTAATTTTTTTAGGAAAATTAAAGTCTTTGAAAAACTATTATGTTTATTAGTGTATTATTATTAATAAAATTGAAAAAAGTTTAAAAATTTTAATTCAAATTCAAAACAAATTTTAAAAATAGGGTGTTCCATTTAAAAAAATCAAAACTCTTTTTCTACTTCCTTCTATGAAATACATAATTATACACCGATGTAGTGTCCTTTTATCATGTCAGTTTCTTTTCCCACGGAGCCCCTTCGGATATTTTCATATCCGGGATATTACAGCGTGGGTTTGGGAGCATCGGATGTTTTCGGAGATTTTACCGCACGGCTTGAATTTTGACGTTTGTCAATTCTGACGGCCATGTCAGGCAACTCCCCCTAGCGTCTACGGTAAAGCACATATTGTTTATCACCTGCAAGGTAACGTTCGTAAATGAGGCCTAACTCGTTCCATTCCAACAACGCAACTCGAAGTTATTAATATTTAAATAAAAATAGATCTAACTTTTCCTCGCCTAGTTATTTTAGCAAATAGTAATAGCCCACACAAAAAAAATCTGAAATGAGATGAACATGAAGAATCCCTTTTTAAAAACCAATCCCTTGGGCCAAATTTGGTAAAAGCCGCATTTAAAAAAAATAATTTACAGCAATTTCTCGACTTAGCGCTACACCCTCGATAATGGAATAATTAACTTGTAGATACAGATATTTCTGTCCAAATATGTTTTTTGAGTTTTTCAAATAACTTCCTATCACTTGTTGTTTACCTTGTCTACCTTGTTATTGTTCAGGACTACATATCTATATTGCGCCGAAACAATTTCAAACTGATTCTTAATGTGTCGTTACATAACTAGGGTATCGATGACCACAACATAACACCTCTTACCCTCCAACTTCTCTAGAACTCCATCCAAGACGATTTGACTAAAGTTCTCCGGAGGGTGTTTTTCTTCAAACGGGCTCACAAGAGTCACGTTGAATCCGTGGTTCGCCAAACCCTTTGCCAAACTATTCCCCAGTATGTAGTGGCTTTTTCCCGGCATGGGATAAATGATCAAAACGTTCGCACCGTATCCGCATGCCACAAAAAACAGCACAAAAATAATGATAAGTCCGTTATTCATTTCCGAGTATTATCAGAAAATACAATAAAGTTTTCGCACGCGCTGAGCTGACGATATCGACGAAATGTCTGACGGATGCTCGATGCGTTTCTTTAAATAATTGCAGCGGTTAATGTATCTGCCAGGGACGGCTCAGAGAATTCCACGTTACGTTTCGCGAGTCTTACAAGTGTGTCTCAACGAAAACCGCACAAAGCAAATGGTAAATACAAAAGTTGTAAAGATTGATAGGCTGCACAATTTATAATTATTACAAATTATACAGGGTGGCTCAAAAAAACGGGACGAATGAAACATACAATTTTAAATTTTGTTTTGAATTCGTTTCGAAATGCTCTAATTTAATCGTTTCTGTTTTGACATTTTCAAAAAAATATTTTTGAACATATATCACTCATATTTGACATCAGCGTTTTTCGAAGATGACGTAAAAGATATATGCAACGGAATTTGAATTAGATGCTATAGGGTGGTCACATCAATTTAAATTGAATAATCTCGATTTTCCTAAACGACACACAAGATCTTTCAAAAACCTACAATTTTTATTAGGTATATCACATACCTATTAATACTTTGCGATTTATTTTAACTATTCCAATACTTACGCTTCTTTCTGTCTAAGACTATTGCTATGATATTAGTTGACTATGACAAAACTATTAGCCAAGACACATACACAATGAATACACCTCTACAGATCCATTTCTGTAATGATTATTTAAAAATTCTCTTCTCGATGGTAATGAGGATGAGGTCATCTTGCTCAAACCACATTTGTTATGAACTTCTTGTTTTTGGTTTTTTGTTTTGGTTTTGCACTTCGCATTTCAAGAATGGATTAACTGTTGGATAATAACGCATGTTATGACGAGTAACTGCACCAAAGTAGACATTATTTTAGACAAAAATACTGTGCGCCGCTATTGTTTCATTTATAACGGTACAGAAACCTACCGTTTGTTCAAAATCACTGGACAAGGAAGAACGTAAATTTAGTTAGCGGACTGTAGTGAAATTAAATTACGTGTTTATCCCTAGAAAAAGGAGAAAATCTCCACAGGTTGTAAAAGTAAACGAACACACAACTGGTCAAAACTGGCGATTATGGGCACTTAGCGGTGGTTTCTGGTCTCGTAGCCGCGTGGTACCCCCGCACGAACCGAAGGCAGGGTAATCTTGCACTACTGCGAGTGTTTTAGCACTTATGGAAACTTGTAAAACTCTAGTTTTTTTTAAAGAGGAAACATGTCCATCAGCGTCACTACTTAAAAGAGCAGCTTGGCTTGCGCGGGAAGAAGTGTCGCGATTTAGTAACTAAACTAAGTTACGAAAGCAAAATAGTAATAATAAAATATTTTTGCGCGAACAATCACGGTCTACAAATTCTTCGTGTGGTTCCATATGGAATGGATGACATTTCTGTTTTCTAGTGGTGCGTTTAACGGTATGTTAGTATGAAGTAAAATTTTCAATTATGTTTTGTCATTGTCATTTCACTTTCCGTTTATCTTATTACTACTTGCATCAAACCGTTCCATTAAACACTGAAGAGTATTATAAATAAATATATTACATCAATTAATTCAGCTATAGGAAAACGTATACAATAAATTTTATGAAGTTATTTACTCAGTTGCCAGGTAAAAATTTGACAATGTCATTTTGTCATGGCCAACTAATCTCATAGCAATAGCATTAGACAAAAATCAGGGTAAATGACGGAAAAGTTAAAATAAATCGCAATCGCAAGGTATTAAAAATTTGCATATTCCGTACTCAATAAAGATTTTTGAAAATAATAGTATATATGGTGTGCCATTTAAGAAAATCGAGATTTTATAATTCAAAATGATCCAAGTACATTCGATTATTTTGTACACCCTCTGGCATCTAATTCAGATTTCATCATGTTCATGACGCCATCTTGAAATAACTTGAAAATCAAATTTGTGTGATCTACTTTTAAAATAAAAATTTAAATATTTTTTTTGTGAATGTGAAAACTAGTATTTTCTTAGAAAAATTAAAATGTTGGAAAAACTATTGGGTTTAGGTGTGTATTATTATAAATAAAAAAGTTTTTAAAAATATTGTGTTCCATTTAAAAAATATATATGTTTTATTCATCTCGCTTTTTTGGGCCACCCTGACTTTAAAATAATTTTAAATTGTGCATCCTAACAATCTTTACTACTTTTATATTTGTCACATTCTCCTAACTTTTGAAACGAACGACTCTATCGTTGACTCAGCCTGTACAGTGTGAACCACTTTAGAACCGTAGAGCCTAGTAAAATCCTTATTTAGGGTTCAATTTTCATTTTTTTTTGTTGCACTAAAAGCTTGTTTTGTTTTTTGCTTCAGCCTAGATTCAAAGAAAGAAGTTTTTTTGGAAGAATAAATTGTCAATCAAACCTTATTCAGGAGTACTTAGAACCCAACTATAGCAATTGCTATCATGTTTAAATGCAGGGTGTTTGTACATTCTTGCAAAATCTTTGTTTACGGTCGAGAAGGCACTAAAACCTTATGTTGGTTATTACATCAACCTGAAGTCATGGACAACTGGGACTATTTTCTAAAGCTGAATATCGGATTAGGGATTTCTGTAAGAATAAAATGTCAACTTAGTGAGTGTGAAACTTAAATATACTAATTTCTATGAAGTTTGAATACAGGGTGATATATCGCGGATGCCTTGCTTATACTCTCATTATGTTCAAGAAACATTGGTGGTTTTCTCGAAAACTTAGAGAATATTTTAAACATTACTAATGATTGACGGTGATTCAAATATGTTTTTGCTTATATATTTTTCGTCGGTCGCGGGGGGGGGAGGGGGCTGATGTTGAGCTAAAGGAGAAACATGAATATTGTCTTTGATAACTGATTAATTAAAGGTTCAGTTGCTCATATATTTCTTTAGGTCGTAAAATTGTAGTTTTATCTAATAATCGGTTTCATGATTGTGTTCGGTAACGGCTGATAAGTTTATTTGTCGCAGTCCTAAGAGTCTTTTATATTCTTTGCACCTAGTTGATATTTTTCGTCCGTCTCTGAGGGATTATTGGACAACTGGTAAATATAGTTTCGACGTTATATTTCTTAAGAACTTTGTGGTCAGTCATGTTTTGAATGTAAGGAAGGACAACAGTGGAAAGTGTGGTGTTGCCTGGGGGACTCATTCTCATGGGAAGGTTGGTGTGAAATGTATTTTGTTATGTAAATTGTAAGGGAGACGAGCGGATGTAAGGTGTTTTAATGATGAGTTCAGTGACTAGGGATGAGATAGTTTTACGCCCCAGTAGTTGATATGATTTTTAGGCCGGATGATAATCTCTGACCATGAGGCCAGATAACAAAAGTATCATCAACGTAGCATTTAAATAATTTTTCATAAATATATTTGCAATGCGTGATGATAATAGAGAACCCATAGCGGTTCCCGACGTTTCTTCATAAATTTTACTGTTACAAAAAAAATATATTCCAGACAAGAATTTTTCAATTAAAATGAAAAAAATTGGTTTCGGATTCTCGGATTTTAATATACCTTAAATAATTGTCTGAGTTTCAGGAATAGAAAAAAGGCATTCTACTTCGAAACTAACCAGAATATCATCTGAATCTATTATAATGGTTTTTCATTGTTAATTGGTTGTTTAGATGTTAATGAAATGAAAGGAATTCAGTACGAAACTATCAGTTGATCCTGTAAAGTGTTTTAATGTAGAAGCTAAATATTTTGCTATAGACATCCTTATAGACATTATTATAGACATCCAATAGTGCTGACAATAGGTCGAAGGGGTAATCCTGGTTTGTGAATCTTGGGGAGTTCGTATACACGGAGAATTTTAGAGTCATGTGGGTGAGATATTTCCATAATCCATAATCCAGAAGATTTGTAAATAGTGTTACAGAAACTTGAGAAAATTGGAACATTAAGAACGTTAAAGCTCGTTTATGCTTATCAACTTTTTATAACAGACAATTTTAAAACTATAGTTTAGTCAATATTAACATGGCCTACGCTTCTTAAAACTATCAGTTCTTATTATAGATAGCAAATAAAGGAAAGTATGTATTATATATCATTGATAAAATATGACTTAATTACATCGACTATGTCCATTTCGGTTACCAAAACATTAAAAAACGAAGACCAGTTTACTCTTATAGAAATAGTTTTATCAGTGCGTTTATTTATAAATTCGAATAGGTCAAAATTTTAATTGGGCAATAAATTATTTTCAGATAGGAATATGGCACTTGATTTGAAAGTAACAACACGTTTTAGCAAACAATTCACTCCAATTTGTATTAAAAAAACCTTTAATTAGATAGATTAGATAACAAAATATTTGTCCTAGGTGTAGGGAGAGGAAATGTAGGGCTAAATCTGATTTCAATTTTGGGAACGTAAAATTTTACTTAGCTTAAAACCACTCAAAATTCAGCGTACCATACAGCCGATACAAAATTTTTAAAGAATTAATGTCCCTCCTAACCTCCAGAGATAATTCCCCGAACCTGCGTAACAGTATCTGATGGTCAAATCCTCTATGAAGATAAGTAGATATGCTACCTGCGTTCAAGAATAAATTTTCTCATTTTAACATGTAAATTCCCATAAGAAAATTTAAGGTTCATATTAGCGGAAATTGGTCCGCTCAAGGTCATTCGATCCATACCCTCTTAGCACCAACCAACCTACCGTCTCCCTCATTTGCAAATCGGTCGTCTGTTTGCTGTTAAAAGTAGACACGTACTATAGGTACTGGTTAGTTGCGAAAATTAAAAACCATATTAACAGGAGTCAAACTGTTTATTGACAGTGGAAAATATAATAAAAGTAGTTGGAGGTAATAAGCGAAAAATATTAAGGACTTCCGGTCATTTTTATTCTAAATATTCCCAAAATATAATGAAAAAGATCAAAATATTTCATGCATTTTTTAAAATAAAAACTTAACGAGGCTGCCAGACGTGAATTGAGTCCGTAAGTGCACCTCATTCGATTTTTAGGAAAAACGAAATTTCAAAACAAAACCAATAAAACACATTTACAATCAAGCGGAGACAGTTTCTTCTTCCATAATGAATAGTGTCCCCACGGCAACGTTTCTACTGATGACTTTGATATGTGACGTTTATCATCGTAAGGACTTAACCCGATCTTCTTTTGGGATACTGTGTGCAACTCCAGTTTGCTCGCTTTTATTAAATTCTGCGATATGCTTTTTTCAGAAAAAATTTGCAAACAATCGACGAAATCTTCAAAAGTTATCTTAGTTTTGATGACGGATTTTTTAACTCCTTTGATCCTCTTCGTAACACCCAAGTTTTTAAATTCACGTTCAAATGCTTCGCGATCTGTTTTTGCGGTCATCAATTGTTGTTTTGCGGTCTTTTCTTCCTCGGGTGTTTTATAGAACTTTGTGGCGTACATTTTAGCTCTCAGTCCGATAAAATGAGACATAATTCGTCCATTATTCTCATCCTTCATCAGACCCAAAACCTTTTTATTGACTCTGGGTATATCGTACGGATTATCCTCCGCATAGTCGGAAGTATCAAAATACTGGTAACAATCCTTTTTTAGAATCTTGTACGGGTCTATGGTTAATATCTCGTATACAAGAGAATGTAGTTGTAGTGAAAGTCATAAATTGTTGTCTTGGCTATCTCCATAATTGACATCCCAACGTAGATAGGTTTGTTAAAATATATTTCAGATTTGTTTAATTCAATAAGAACGAGGTTAATTCAATAAGAACGAGGCTAATTATAGTTGCACTTTTAAACTCGGGTCGGGCAATCAGAGCTTCCGCACCGTAGCGACCTTCCCAGTTTTTCACAAGCTTAACGTTGGAATGGTTTCGTATGTTTTCCATTGCTTTTCCAAACACAGCATTGATCATCAATTTAAACAAGTTCTTTTCAAACTAGTTTTTGGCAGCCTGACGTAGTGCAATGTTTAGGTCGATATAGGCTTTTAACCAAGGCGACTGGCTGAACGAGATGACTCGATGTACCTTTCTTAACTTAGCTCCCAATTGTAGCGCCTGTTTCAGATTACGATAGTGAATGACATACTCCTGCTTGTCGTATAAGGTGGTCAGTAATTTTTGATTTTCGGATTCTGGAGGGCAGCGATGTTCGGGACATGGAGGTAAATCTGCAAATTTGTCGTACAACTCCTCGGGTATTTCCAAATCGACCTCCAAGATGTAGCCGACGTCCGACTCGTTGGATATATTTAAAATGTCAAGATTTTCGATTTGCTGTTCATCCAACCAATTAAAACCTCCGTACGATAGGTATTGAGACTTTGCCCACCCTTATTGGTTATTGACGTCGAAATACATCAAGTATTTATCAACTTTAGAGGGATCGTAGCTGTGCATATATTTGTTGTTGACTTCCGCATATCGTTTGGAGCACTGACTAAGGCCTCCTCGCATTCCCTTCTCGATAAACAAAATCATGTCGACGTCAGTGAGTAGATCTAGTTTTTGCTTCAATTTATACAACATGCAGCTCCACGCGTATCCCGGCAGTGTTTACGCATGTGCAGGATCAAGTCCATAGTTCTTATGTGACGTTGCTCGAAACCTCTCAAAAACGTCTGCCAAGAGCAGGATGTCCGTCTTCATATAAAGTTCAGAATAATCCTGCAAATTTCGACATCCAAGTTTCTCCCAGACTTCCTGAGCACGTTTGTAATCTTTTTTGGTCAACGGTTTGTCATCCAATATGTTATAAAATGCCAAAATAGGAGGCAAAACAGTTTCTTTCAACGTATTCCATCCATTCATGTAATCGTAGGGGAAAACGCCTTTTTGTCTCAATATATTGGCTTGCTCCTCCGACAATTCACTAAATTCGAGCTCCAGTATCGGATATTCCGTTAAATAAGCCGCCACCTTGTCCAGGCCACTCGACATCGAAAACTGTCGATGAATCGAAATTTCACCAAGTTGTCATTTAGGTGCCACGTAAAGGAAATATACTTTTCCTTGTTTACAGGTAGCAAGTCGATCGACCCATCACATTTGGCTAGAGCTTTTATTATTATATTTCCGTCATACGACGAAAGATTATGAAATACTACGGGAACGGTGTGGCCATCCCTAAATTTTTTGTCCAGCTGTTAGTTCATCCATTAATATATCACACAAGAATACCGTCTCAATGTTCTCAGCTAATTGCTCCATCTCATTGCAGAACCATTCCGCACAATCCTCTCCCGTGTACGACCGATAATATGAAAGGGAGTCGTCATATGAACATTTAAAATAATAGCCCAGAGAGTCCGGAACATGGCGCTGATACCTCTCGGTGTCGGACGCTGATTTATCACATTCGGGAACCAAAAAACATTCCGTGTCGGCATAAACAATAAAAGCACATTTCATCAGAATTTTGCACATTAATACAGGCGTGCTTTCTTGCTATCGACTCCGGTAACTTCAGGTAACTTCCGGCGTGAAGTGGATTAAACTTGTTGATATTGACCATTAAATTTAGGATTTTCTTCAAAGCCCATCCGGAATCTTTTCTTGGAACTCCTCTAATTGGGTTTTAATTGGCAAGACAATGTTTCCCTCAAACCATTGTTCTAAATTAGTGTCTTTGTAGATTGCTGCGTTCAAAGTTGTAAAGTATTTAATTTCCGTCTGGATTTGATCAGTCTTTTGAATTTGAAATTCTCCCCCGAAGACAGCGTTTATTTTAACGGCCTGGTCCGTTTTCAGCGCGTTGTTGACACGTCGTCGAAACAAATATATTTGCGTGTGCTATCAGTAATTTTGTTGGGTGTTAATTTTTTTTGCCAAATTACGTCATGTGAAAGTCGACACGCTTTAAAATTGCATACGGCAGACTGCACGTCCGAGGCGGTTGTGTGTCAAGTCGTTCCCGTCTGAGCACGTGTACCTTGAGACTCCCACCTGCATGGCTCTCTGGTGTCAACATACGTTCATCGTGTTTATGCAAATAGGCGTTTGTGCCTTTCGATTTTTTAAATCAATTTTTAATTTTTAATTTAACCATGGAAGGGAGAACATGTGAATAAATACATTTAATGTGTATTGTATACTATATTCAGTGCAATGTCAAGTGCGATATCTATTTCCCTATGACTCTACAACTGATAAGTTTTATGATTTTAATTTACCCTAATACAGTGCGAGTCTTTTTTTGTTTTGTTTTTGTGGGTTTCAGTTTTCGTTAATTTTTTCAGTGATTTGTGAATAACAAAAAACAATGATCACTTTTTTTGGTCAGTTCCTACCTGTTTTTATAATATAATAATTCACTTTTTTACGTTGCATAATAATACTTTACTTACGTCACTTACTGAAAGTTGTGTTTAAAAAATGTGTTTTATAGGCAACGCGACATATATATATATATACATTTTTGTTTCTTGTTTGTTCTAGAAAAAACACGGTTTGTCCGTTTGACAATAATCCGCGTTTTTACTTGTAAAAATAATCAAATTAAATTGAAGTATATAGTGTTTTTAATGTCTTGTAAATGACAAGAAGTAGAAATGTGAATGTTGGTATGTGTGTGTAACTTTCACACACATTATGTTGGCGCATCCAGCAGGGTGGGTGGTCGACAGAGGGAGACGGTGAGGAGTGTATTTCCTATATAGATTTCTTGAAAGAACGGGAACAAGAACGTCATCAACAGGAACATCGTTATAGCTGACAAAGTGGACGCAAAAAGAAGAAGAAGAAGACCCTCCTCGATAAATATATGTTATTGTATATAGTTTTCTTTAATTAAACTTGGACACACCGGGTGTACCTGATTATTAAGACACTATGTATAAGTCACTCCACTTGTTTACCGTCGATCCTATACTTCCGAAAACGCGAAAAAAAGGTGAGTCACGTGACTACACATCTGTTGAGTGGTTGTGAAATGGGGTGTGAGGGTTGATGGTGGGGGTGGGGGTGGGGGAAGGGGGGTGACGGTTTTGGGGGGGGGTTGCGGGAGGGGTGGCGTTGAGGGAGATGGTATTGGTTGGTGCTAAGAGGGTATGGATCGAATGACCTTGAGCGGACCAATTTTCGCTAATATGAACCTTAAATTTTCTTATGGGAATTTACATGTAAAAATGAGAAAATTTATTCTTGAACGCAGGTAGCATATCTACTAAGATATATATTATCTTCCTAAAAAGGGGAGTATTTAATATGTACAGTATCAATATGAAATTGATGTATTGGACGCCACATCAATTCTATCTAATTTAGATCTCACGTAAGAATAGTACAGAATTCTAATAGTTGAGGTATGGTTCAAGTATCGGCAAGATTGTTTAAGAGAATGTTTATTTTAAAATATATTTTTTAGGTGGATGGAAGCTTTTTGTAGAGATTTGGTTATACGAACTGCAAGTTTCAAGTGCCGTTTACCACACTTGCGCATAGTAAGCCTCCAATGAATCATAATTTGAACGAATTAAATGAATGATTTTGTTTAGTTTCTATGACGGCGAGTATGCACCAAATTTGTTTGATGGCCTAAGATGAAGTATTCGCCTGCAGGTGTGGACTTGTCATTGGTATAATAAAGCAAATCGCTTTTATACACTGCTTAATATATTTCGGACACTTTCAAGTTATTACTAGTTCTGCTTTTCTTTTATCTTTGCCGCCCTCCAATACTTCAAAATTCTGTAAACTGAGTGGAAAAGCGTGAACAAGATAATAAATATGGCTGCGAGAATATCAAGCATCAAATATTTGTACAATGGTAACTTAACTCCCGCTACTTGCAGGTGTGGTGCCCCCTTGTACCTAATGACGTAGTCGACCCAGTATGCGGCTAAATCCATTGGTTTAACTGGACGGTCATGCATTAGCTGGGATCTGTATTTTGCATTCTGTAAGTATCTGAAAAGAAAAAATACGAAGTTTAATACTGTAAGTAAAGAAAGTAAAAATGCCTGACCTGAATGAACCTCACTCGCATGAACGTTATTCCTAAACTTATCGAAAAGGTAAAATAATATTCTTATAGATTTTTGGATATGTCCAAATAAATATTGTCTTACCAAAAATATATGAAATCCTTGGTATTGATCTATTAATATTTTCCAATATATATATATATATATATATATATATATATATATATATATATATATATATATATATATATATATATATATATATATATATATATATATATATATATTTATATATATATATATATATACAAGTTCTGCACTCTTAACAGTTGTAGATTTTAAGTTACAGGCCTATGGTGTTATGATATTGGCTGGCCTCATACTTAATAATTTATTAGAATTTAGAGAGTGTGATGTGTGAATGTCTAAAGGGTATATTGTAAGCAAACCTTGTGCATGAGTTTTGTAACTTCTGGATGTTTGGTTCCATCCGGAAAGTCAAAAAGTCCCCAGAAACCACGTCACAATAATCAAGCAGCGATAATATCAGAGTGTCACAAAGTTGAATCTTTATTGTCGATGCCAAATGTTCAATTTTTTTCTACTTCCATTTTGCCACGTCAGCTTCCTTTTTCACGGATCCGAACCAGTTCGGACATTTCCGGGATTTTACCGCACGGATTTGGAAGCAATCGGGTGTTTTCGGATTTTTTACCGCACGGCTTGAATTTTGAAGTTTCTCGATTCTGACAGCCATATCAGTGAATATATTAGTGTTGTTTCGCAAAAATGTACCCAATAAATAACGGTCGTAAAAAAGTATAGTATGCAACACGTTTGATAAACTTTTTAACTCATACCGTGAACTACACTTGTTGCATAATATAGTATTTCATAAACTAACACACAAAATATAGATTTAACTAAATATAAAACAATATATTTATAAAAATATATAACGAAACACATAGAATAGAAATAGGAACAGAACCTCGGTGGTGACAACTGGAGCATCAGAAAAGCATAGTATAATATACATGAAAAAAAAACTATATTTTCTTACGGCATAAAACTTTGTTTTTGTACATGAAATTTTTTCATATATTTTTTGAAAGTTCTACCATTTTGTAGTTTAATATAATTACTATCAGTAACGTTAACGAGTGACTTTTGAAAATTTGCAGTTTTATGCTGAGGCAATCTCAAATCAGTGATTTGTCTAGTATTATGATAATGTTCAAAAGAATAAAATAGCCCGGCCAAATCGAGCCGCTGGCTTCATATTTCATAATTTATGTGAAAGGGTATATTGTAAGCATGTATTTTCACAAAGTTGTATCTTTAGCGTTGATGGCTAGTGTCTAATTTTTTTAAATGCACACAGGCAATTTGAAGTCTTTTTTCGGACGTGCTTTTCAAACCCAAATCCGGTGTCAAAAATTATGCCCAATATTTTTGCTTCATTAACCAGTTTAACAGGTAAATTTTGAATTTTGATGTATAAATTGGTCTTGATGAGCTCCTCATTATTTCTGTTGTCAGCGAAAAGCAAAACTTGTGATTTTGCATAATTTAGTTTTAAATTGTGATTGAAAGCATAAATGTGTATTTTTTTTTAAATGTGAATTAAAATGATTTTGCGATATATGGAGAGAACCAATATGGATGGCACGAGTAGTTGAGAGCCGTATTGCTGCAATTCAGCTGACTGAATGCGTTTACCCATATCAGCGATATAAATTGAAAATAATAAGGGACCTAGAATAAAACCTTGAGGTACACCTGCAGCATTCTAATGTAAATATTACTTCTCAATTTTATTGGCCGTGTTAACCGCGACGGAATACATTCTATTGTTAAATTAATTCTCAAAAAGCTTGATCACACTAAATGAAAGTGCAAAATACTGAACCTTGACTAGCAATAAAGGAAGACTAATAGTATCAGACGCTTTGCTAAAGTCCAAGAGGAAGAGAAGTGTATTCAATTTTAAATGTCTACTAACTGTGCTATGTGCTCTAGCCTCGACGAAAGCCAGGTTGGTAACTGGAAATTATGCTGTTTGAGTTTGAATAGTGAATTTGATTTAATATATATTTTTCAACATCATTACAAAGCGCGGGAAGAATATTAATTGGCCTAATATCCATAATCTCTTTTCGATATGAAACTTTATAGACTTTTTGAAAATATTGCAGAACGTATTTTCCAGAAAACAGCTATTTACTAAATTTAACAGATGATCTACACAACATGGCAAGCATAACCTCCAATCCCGTATATAAATTCCATCCTCACTCATAGCATTAGACTTAATTTCGGTAACATACGTTATTTCGTCACCTTTGTCACAGAGTCGAAAATTAAACTCCGGCATTCTCGTATTGCACCCTTGGATAAAAATTGTCGCACAGTCTTTAAAATATCTATTAATTTGATTCGCGTTTAACAATACTTCTGACAATAATTTTGTTTTGTTTTTACTTAAGTTAAGGTGACTTACACTTTTGCACAAAATTTTTGCATTTTTATTTGAAAATTGATTAAAATAAGCTATTTTTTCTAGTATTAGATAGTGTTTTGTACAGTTTCTGAGTTGTCTATTATAAAGAAGTTCTATTTTTCGAGTATTTGTTACGCGCTTTGTCTCTCAGACGAAAAGCACCTTTAAGTTGTCCGTTACCCAAAGCTTTTTTGGTTTTATTAAGAAGGCTCAAAATATTACTAGAAAATTCTTTTCCTTTTCTATAATGTGCCAATTTATCCTGATTATCAAGATTTTCATGAAAACAAATCTTGTGTTTATTTAATCAAACCAAATATCTTTATTTGGTGTATGTCAAAGTCGCTTGATTGACCCCTTAAATTTGTTTTTTAAATGTTCACTGCATTAAAAACGTCCTTTCTGCTTTCTACTACTTTCAATTCAATAATTAACTAAACTGGTTAGCCTTCGACGATTAGTTTCGGTTAGTTAATAAGTTTCTTGATTAAATCTAATTGTTAATGAAAAATAAGTGAAAATAACAAATCAATTCAAAATAGGCGAGGATATCAAAATATAATAATGTCACCTATTGGGTAATTTTGTACGAAGACATTGTAGAAATTGTAAAAAATAAATTAAAAAAATTATTTCGATTTTCTATTTATAGAGAAAAAGGGGGTGATCAGTCAAACAGGTAACACAATACCGGTAATGCACGTGTGTGGTTCAGGAAATCAATATTTAAATTTTATTGTGAAATATTACATTATAATTGGTAAGCGAAGCCCCAAAAATTTTTCTGTATTCAGATTTCAATATAAGTTTTATAAATCTGTACGCTAGGCGAAATAGAACTTCCAACCTAATTATGAATGTACCGTTTCGGTTTGTTTATTATTTTTTCATTTCAGTTATGTCAGTTGCAGGTGGAGGCAATGCCACGCTCTTATCTCAAAGGAAATTTAAGAGTTCAGAGGTCCGAGAAAGGCTGTCTGTCGCTGATATTCGTAGCGGTAGAAAATCAGTTCGAGAAGTAACTCCAGCCTTCTCGACAGGACCATGATGAGAAGAATGAGCACAGGATATTTAAATTCAATTTCCTTGAAACACAAAATCTGCTGGGATCCCGAATAAGAAGCACAATTCGTACGGCTTTGCTTTGTCTTCTTATGATGTAAGGAAGCTTGCCTATATTTTTGTTGTCCAGCATTTGTGGCTTTCATGGAAAGGCATCCTAAATTGACTATATATACCGCTCAAGGATTTGTCATTGCTAAAGGAGCTAAAACGGTGCATTACAAGTGGTGGAAAAGGGGAAACGGTGTCAGTCATAACTTGTGTTCACACAGAAGGTACTTTTATTCCTCCAGACTTTGAAGATGGACTCCCACCTGGTCGTAGAGTTGTGGAGTCCGCTTATGTGACGGCGGAAATATTTTTCAAATTCTTCGTTCCACGGAAAGGGCCCAAGGTGTTGTTGCTTCTGGATGGGCATTCGTCCCACTGTTGTAATGTTGAACTGATAAATTGTGCTCTAGCAAAAGAAGTTATCCTGTTTTGCCTGCGTAATCATAGAACACGTTGGCTTCAACCATTTGACAGATCGTTCTATTAGGACCAAACCTGCCAGAATTAGATTCAGAATAATCCAGGTCGAAAGCTAAGCCTACTACAGTTTACTTCACTTTTAAATATTGCTTAGTGCATGGCTGCAACAATAGAATGGGGCTTCCCGTTTTAGAGCATTTGTAATCAAAACAGTACCAATTGTAGTAGAACCAAATCCAGAAGAAGATGCTTACAACTTGCAGGATCAACAATGCATTATTGCAGCTGACAGAAACAGAAACTTTTTTGAGCAAATTTTACAATCGCCTAGAATTAAACCAAAACCAAGTGGTTTCCGGAAACAGCAGGCAGAATACTAACCGCGCCAGAAACAATTGGCGCTGATCGCCTATAGAAGAAGGCAAAAATAATGAAGTTAAAACAAAAAGAGAAAGCTAAAAAGAGGAAAACTGCTGTAACTGTTCACTATGGCAACAAAAAATTGTAAATTTCAGGCACAATCTGAAGAAAGAAGTCATCCCATCAAACTAATATGGCAAGTCCATTTGATCCTACTCTGAAATAGCCATAAACACTAAGAAATTATGACTCTAAAGTGGAGGTATAAGAGTCAAAGTACTGTACAACCTGTGTAGGTTATTTTTGAAACAAAAAGGGTCCAAAATGTGAGTAGTATATAGTATATATTGTGTAGATGGTATGTATTGTGAACCGTACTGCTTTGATTTATTAGGAAAAATAAAATATTTATTGTGTGTATTGAATTTTTTGTAGATGCCATATTACCCACAGGGATGGATAATATGGCAATAGTACCTCACTGAACATTATACCCTGTAACATTATTGTAGCGATTTATTAGTTATTAGAATGTTATCCATTGAAATTTAAGTTGCTATATTTTTTTTACGTTTTACTCAATATTTATAATAAATGTTAAATTCATTAATAACAACTGGCCAAGTGTTTTTTTTTAAATAAGTAGCGTCCTCAAAAATGTGAAAATATGGTTAAACGGTGCCATATAAGAAAATTGCCGAGTGGAGTGAAATAAAATTTTATTAAAATAATTGAATAGCTGAATGGACAGTAAATTGTGCCACGGATAACTAGAAAGTAATAAAATGCATTTTTTCGAAAAAGTATGAAGTAAATCCAATTCGTTCAAAACAAACTGTCATAATCCCTTTTCTAAAATTTCAATGATTGATTTATTAAAATGCAACTGTAAATAACGAACAAATTAGATTTTCTTCTTTTGTATATCCAAGCGTATAGTTGGTTGCATTCTCCATATACTGTTTTCCGTGATTTATAAGATCCAAATAGTAAGTATATGTCACCGTAGAGAAACCAAAACCATTTGACCAACTTAGAAAAGGTACATAGGGTCTGATCCGCCATTTAAGTTTGTTTGTAGAAAAAATCACGTTACCAATATTTTTTCTCAGGTTCCCGGCTGGTTGACAGTAATTTGACTTTTGCGGGCAAATTACTTTTATACTGAGTTTTAATTCCTGCACACAATGGATATCAAACTGGTTTATCTACTTACCTAGGATTATCCAATATTTCGTTGATAGCTTCCTCCAAATTGTGTTCATTTATGTTTGAGAATGGAATAAATTTTCCTATTCCGAGAGTTGCTGCTCGGGCGGCATTCAACTTTTGATCTCCGAAGACGGGAAATCCGAGAATGGGTATTCCATAATACACAGTCTCCGTGGTACTCAATAGACCACAATGAGTGATAAATAGCTTAATATTTGGATGTGCTGTAGCAAACTCAAGTCAATAAATATATATTTTATCGACCAAACCCGATTTCTGGCCAAACTAGTTTGTCCTAGACCACACATATTTATAACAGTCTACTCTAGTAGTTTTTTTGTGAGCAAGCAAGGAGCAAAAACTAACCAAAGCTAATCAAACCTGTCATCATATTTGTTGACATTATTTGCTGTTGTTCTAGTTTCGTAAGTTTTTTATAAACTGATTTAGTCTAGGACAAACAAGTTAGCAGTGAACACGTAAAGTAAACGGCTAAAATATGGAACAAGTTCATCTAAAAATCAGGCATTGGATTTCAAGAAAAATGCTAGCCCATGCCATCCATCATAATCAGGGTGCAGGATTTTTGAAAAAATTGGAACACAAAAATGGAACCCCATTTCTTTCAATCCATTTTCGAATTCTGTCATAAATTTTGGTCTTAATTTTGAAACGCAACGAAAAGTTCTTAAATTGATACAAATACATTTCTGTCACTAAGGAAAGTGAATACCACTAAAGGTAAACCCAGAGAACTGAAATGAAAATTTTTATGGATATAGAGACAACGCTATTTCAAGAAATGTTTGTAATTTGTTTAGCGCAAAAGATCATTTACAGTCAGGTCGTCCAAAAACTAATGAAAACACAAGATTAAATACATTATTAGAAGTTGAGGATCATCCTCAGCGTGCATCGTCTGAAACAGCTTCAAATGAAGATGTTACCCAGCGAACAGCTTTGCGTTTATGATCATTACAAGATTACTTTCCTACAGGAGCTGAATGAAGATGATCTCCAGGTTTGTGAAATTATGATGGGAATATGGTACGATAAATAATGGATAAGAGAAAATCACATACACAACATCCACAAAAAATAAATGTTCGGAGAGCGATTTTCAATAACAAATTTATTGCATATTATTTCTTCAAAATGACTTATTTATTACTTTCGCAGTTTCTTTCCCAAATACAAATTAGACTGCTATGGCAAATGAGTAAATTTGCTTTAAACAGGACGGTGCTCCGCCCCAGGTGCCTGAATATTTAAATAAGGTATTTTCAGATCAGTGGATTGATAAAAGATTAATAGAATGTGCCACAAGATCTCCAGTTACCTCCTCTGGATTTTTTTCTCTGGGAATATTTAATATTATAATTATCACAAAATTTAGATGATTTAAAATTTAGTAGATACTAAGGAAATTTATCATATTGTCAAGAAGTCCAGGGTGGGCATTTGCAACAGCTAATAAATTAATTTCTATTAGATGCCTTGTTTCTATAAATTATCTCTCAATTTTAGTCACTGCGGACCATGTATTGAGTCTTTCTGGACATTTTGCACTAAATAAACTACAAAATTCTTTTTGAGTAACTGTTTCGTCTCCATATCCCATATATATGAAAATTTTAATTGTCTCTCTTAGATGAGCGAAGTTCACTTTCTTTACTGACATAAATGTAATTATAACAATTTAAGAACTTAAGAAATTTGTTTTATATTTTAGCTGTTTGAGAATCGATAAAAGGGCTCTAAGTACCATTTGCAATCAGCTTTGCTTCCATTGCCAAATTCAAGAACAGAAGTTCAATTTGTGGATTGCTTGCCAAATAAAAATTAGACTTTTTTTAGGTGTGTGAATGTAAAGTTTTTTGGAAATTCATTTTTCATAGCCTCACAATGAAGAAATATTTATAGTCTGTACGATTTGCGATGACACTGTCGGTCATAAAACCAACAGAGAGGGCGCGGCAGTATTTTATCTGATTACATTCGTATACAAAACAGAGTCGCATTTTTGAAAAACTTATATCGAAATTTAAAAGGCCGTTTTCAATTATTATGGGTAATGCACGATATCAGTCTACACTCAGTGAAAGTGTACCAAATGCATCGACAAGAAAAAGAGAAATTATCAATGGTCTAAATTGTAAGTGTTAAAATTGTCAAATATTACAAAACAATCTTGCCGTAGGCTACAGACGAAATAATTGTTGAAATGGGTTTTAAGATTGACTCCATATCATTGTAAATATAGAATTGATGTAAGTGCAAAATATTTTTTAATAAAAATATTGTAAGTGCCTTACTTACACGATAATACTGCAGCAGTATCTGTTCAGAAAGTTACCAAAGAAAATTGAATCAGTTGTGTGATCTTTCATCGTAAATACAAACTAAATATGGTTTACATGGATATTTACTCTTGGCAAATTATATTTTATGCGGTATTTTATATTTTTTTATTTTACGATTATTTTGGTATTGTTTTAATTTTTATTGCATTGACAAGAGTTTTCGGACAATACTTTACTTAAAAAATTATAATAATTTTTTCAATTATTTCAATTATACTAGTTACTAGTTACTAGTTGAGTTAAGTTAATAAATGCCAAGTACAACTGATTCTGTCTCTCTTACTTGCAAGTAATATAATCGAGATCGTTACTGACGGCTGTCTTGCATTGATGAGATAGAAATTTAGGGTGGAACAACATCTGCTGAAGTATAAGTGGAAGCAAATCGATCAATCGATTTTATTCTGTTTGGCTTTTTATTGCCGACTATGCTATCGCAAATATAGAACAGCTTCTCAGATAGTATAAACCAAAGATTTTTTCGTGAAAATTTTACCTTAACAGTTAAGGCTGTTTTGTTGTTATGATTTTTTTTTCTTAAAATGAGCCCTTCAGCATTGACGCACAACTAAGAAACACCCTGTTACCTTACCTACCCACCTAATATATCTTGCTGAGGAAACCACTTGGACAGCTTGAAGTTTGGAGGCCGATTGGGTAACGAATCTTGATCCCATTTCCATAAAATGTTTTCCTTCCTGGATCCCAAAACCTTCAAAATTGCATCTCTCGTAGCGTTAGGCATTTGAGATGGAATTAAATTGGAACCCAAACTAAAATATATCGCCCCTTCTTTTGAATTATCCAAAAAATCTTGTAAATCTTTCGGTAGATTTTTAGGTGGGGCAACGTGATACCCTCCGATTTGAACCATATTTGGAACTATCGGTACAGGTTCATGAATGCTTTCGTGCGAATTCAGAAAGATCAGGGACACATTATAGATGATTTCACTGAGGTTTGGACCATCAGGGTAGTATTTCTTCAGTATCTTGCTTTGGGTGGGATAAATCAGAAAATGGTTGTTCAATTGGCAAAATATTCCAATAAAAAAATTGTAGAGGCGTTGAGAGAAGTTCATTTCGCTATTAAAATTAGAAAGCAAATTCGGCACGTAAGCGGGTGGTTCGGGATTTGCCACCAAACCGTTTATCCAGAAATTTGGACCTAAGCTGCTCATAATTATTAAGGGCGCTTTAAAGTGATGAGCGAAAATGGTCAAGGCATCGTTTTCAAATAGTTCTACTACGACGGCGTCAAAACGTTCTTGAGATTTGAGCAGGATTTGCACTTTTGGATGTGCGAAAAAGTATTCCGTAATTTCTTCGCACATGCCCTTCACATATAGTATCTGTCCGACCGGCGAAGTGTCGCCGTAAGCGAAGAAATTGAAATTTTCCTTAATTTGATCCTCTGAAATAAAGAAAAAACTTATTTTAATAATAGCAATATTGAAGTAAAACGGGAAGCTTATTACACCATACTATTTGCCACTTTACTTAGCGCTGCTTTGCACTTTGCATATCGTTTTCGCCAATACCGTTTGTTCATTAAGCCAAATGAAAAGTGCAAAAAATATTTGAAAGGAATTGCAATTTTTGGTGATATTTTTTTCACAACGACCACGGAAAAGGTTAGAGTAAATTTTTGATTTACGAGATGATTAATAATTTCTTTAAGAAGCATTTCGGCTTACAAAATTCCAAGTGAAATATGTGCTAAACAGTATCGGTGGAAAATTGTCTAGCATCATAAGAAATCATGCTATGCAATACGGCAATTGCTTTATAACGTTTGGGTTTTGTGTGCCCATCATTCAAAACGCACCTTAACTTTTCGAAAAAACTCGTCATTTAAAAAATATATATGTATCGTACCTAATAATTTACTAAACAATAACGCTCCCAAATTGACAATAAAGCCAAATTTACAGAAAAAAAAATAGGTGGCCATGAAACAAAAGCATTATTTTGTCGCACTGTCTTGACGTATTTGTTAAATATTAGAGTTTTAATTACAATCTACTTTAATAACTAATTATTGGAGTAGCAAAAAAGGCAGTTTTTAAACTAAATATTTTTAAATATTTTTTTTATTCTGTAATAATAAGGCTTAGAGATATGTAAGATATTCAATTGAAAGCCATCCGTTTGACAACATTGATATTCACAAGAATATCTCTGATTTCTCTAACTAAATTGAGCAATAATGTATTTGAGCTGTTCATTATTGCCGCCATAACGATTTCACAATATTTAAGGGTTCGTCATCAAACTGATCGAAAACATTATTTAATATGAACTCTCAATAACTAAGTAATATATAATAATAATAATAACTATTATTATTATTATTATTAGTATTATTATTATTATTATTATTATTATTATTATTATTATTATTATTATTTTATACGCATTTTATCAAATAGACTTCAAGAGTTTTTCGATACGAACTCGATACTACCCTTAGGGCAAAAAAGCTGCTGCAGAGAATCTAAAGGTTGCAAAGACCAGATATTACTGTCAAAGTATATCCTGGAAGAATGTAAACAAAGGAAACGCAATCTGACTCTAGCGTGGGTGGGCCACAGAAAAACTTATGATAGGATAATGGATTTTGAAAAGCTTAGAGTGTATCGGAGTCCATCCCATATTAGTGGCAACACGCAGGATCATGATGAAGAACCGGAACACAAACGTCTACTTAAACACCTCCCTTGAAGCTATAATGATACCTAACACACGTATACATAGGCGAATATTTCAAGGAGATTCCTTATCACCGCTCTTATTTTATATATCACTTATACCACTTTCCATTGAGCTTAACGAACTGAATAAGGGCTTTGTTATGAAGGGCATAAAAATAGATATATATGGACGATCTGGAAAAAACGAAGCAGAGCTAGAGGATCAACTCACGATAGTCAAGAAATTTAGCGACAACATTCGCATTGAATTTGTTATAGAGAAGTGTGTCAAGGCGGTATTCAAGAAGGGAAAATTACAAACTAAAGATAACTGCAGAGAGAGTCAGTTTAATTTTTATCAGCTAGAAGGGGAAGAAAACTATAAATATTTAGGCGTAGAGGAAGGAGAGACAACAAAACAGGAAAAAATAAAGAACCAACTGATCAAGGAATACCGAAACGCAGATTTTAAAAACACAATTGAGCGGCAAAAATAAACTCAGTGCCATAGGACAGTTCGCATTACCCGTGCTTCAATTTAGTTTTGAAAACTAGAAAACTTCTTTATATGTATGGAATGCAACACCCAAGAGCCGATATACACAGATTATATGTATCGAGGAAGCAAGGGGGCCGATGCCTGTTGCAAATAAAAGCGGCATTCAAGTGGGCTATACTCAACTTAGAAGAATATCTAATCAGAAGAACAACAGACAAATATGTAAATCTACTAAGAGTATATAACGAAGAACTGCCTAAGATAAAATCGATAACTAAAGTAGCTGCATCCTTCAGAATATCATTAGGGCTGCCAAGAAACCAGGATGATACGGAAGAAAAACCGAAAAGAAAAATAAAAGAAAAATTATCGAGTGAACTGAAAACAGAGTGGAAGAATAAACGAACGCGTAGACAGTATGCACGACAAATTGAAAATCAAAAAATAAATCCCAGATACACATACGGTGGGCTAGCGAAAGGAAATCTTAAGGGTCAGACAAAAAGCCTAATAATCGCGGCACAAGATCAAGCTCGATATTACTCAAAAAATATCCTAAAGAACGCTATAGACTCAAAGTGTCGGTTATGAAATAACTACGATAAAACAGTGAATCATATCCTCTCTGGCTGTCCTATACTAGCAAAAAATGAGTATATAAAGGGACATGAAAACACCATATTAACACCACCAGAAATTGGTATGATCACAGAGCTGAGCGGGTCACAATCAAGGAAGATTCTACAATTCTGTGGAATCAACAAATTCAAACAGATAGGCAAATAACAGCAAACAAACCGGATATTGCTTTTAAAGATAGCCGTAACAACTTATGTACGATAGTTGACGTTGCAATTCCAGTCGATAACAATGTTGTGGCGAAAGAAGCCGAAAAATGACTTAAATACAGGAAACTAGCCATCGAAACAGGTAGAATGTGGAATATTAAGGCCCAAACTATCCCCCCCGTAATTGGCGCAACTGGAACAATCACAAAGAATTTTGAAAGATACCTTCAACAATCGACGGAAAACATAATATCATACAGCTTCAGGCCACGGCAAAATAATAATAATAATAATAATAATAATAATAATAATAATAATAATAATAGACTTTAGACTTTAGACTTTATTGGCCATTAAATACATTACAAGAACAACAAATGGCAAGTCACAATATCAAACACATTCTAATAACATTCATAGAGAGCAACATAATTATCAGATAGACAAACACCAAACATTGAAACAAAAATTAGGTAAAAAAAAATAAGTAAATAAATAAATAAATTCCCAATTAGTATTATGGAGACACTCGTGACGCAACACGGATGTACTCATCTGCAGTATAGAATGCGTTCTCCAATAGAAATTGTTTTATTATATTACAAAATTTAGTGAACGGCAGATCCTTGACAACGGTAATTAATGTACAATTTATTTAACTCGGATGTGCGGAGCCTAGAATGGCCCTGGACAATTAATTCAGATCCCCTGGTGTAGTGATTGTGGCGATCACAGTGCTTAGGCATATCGTTCTTTAGCTCATGTATGAGAGTGACTGTATAGTAAATAAATAGTGATGGTAAGGTCAAAATATTAAGCTTTCAGCGAGCAAGAGTTCAAGTTTTTATACAAATATAGAAAAATTGCCTCTAGAGCCAGAGCGATAAACATTGATTAAAATAAGATTAAGCACTGGTATCTCCACACCACAAAACTCTGCGTGAAGATCCAGACAATATTTACTCAGATTAAGACTGCTACAGGCAATATTATTTTTAACATATATAGCAGTTCCTCCTCTGGAGGAACTGAGACGACAATAATATCCAACTAATTTATAATTGTGAACCTTAATAATATTAATTAATAATAATAATAATAATAATAATAATAATAATAATAATAATAATAATAACAATAATAATAATAATAATAATAATTTATTGTCTGCTTTGCCTGCTTAACACGCGGGGCAAGCTGTTCGAGCTGCTACTCCGGCCTCGAATCCAAAAGGCAATACAGGATGCCGGTGGCCTACACGACAGGCAATACGGCTTCAGGAAGGGCCAATCGACTATAGACGCGATACGGAACGTGGTGAAAGCTTTCGACAGAGCGCCGACAAAGCCCCACAAAGACAGGCCAATAGTGCTCTTGGCAACACTCGACGTACGAAACGCCTTCAATTCGGCGAAGTGGAAGGACATCGTGGGGGAGCTAACAACTACCTTGAGGTTGCCTCCATACCTCCGCCGCATTATGAAGGACTACTATGCGGGACCGTACACTTACGTACCAAACGGAGACAGGCACAAGGACGAGACGGCTTACGGCTGGAATGGCGCAGGGTTCGATCTTGGGCCCGGACTTGTGGAATATTGATTACGACGGGATCCTGAGAATCCCGATGGCACCGGGAGTGCACCTAGTAACATACGCGGACGATGTCGTCATCGTGATAGTGGCACGGGACGGTCGTTGGGCGCAGCTCCGGCTGAATCGAGCTCTAGGACAGATTACAGACTGGTTACGGGGACGAGGGCTAGACCTAGCCATACAGAAGACCGAACTGACGTACCTGACACGAAAGCACATTGGCAGGAATGTGCAAATGACAGTAGGCGGGACCCAGATGGCGACCAGAAGCGAGGTCAGGTATCTCGGTGTTTACCTGGATACGAGGCTTACGTTCTGGTCGCACATCAGGCGCGCCGTAGACAAGGCAGCTTCAAAAACTGTAGCACTCAGTCGCCTCATGCCAAACACGAGAGGACCAAAGCAGAAGACGCGACAATTACTGATGACAGTAACCCACTCGATTCTCTTGTACGGAGCCGAGATATGGGGAGGCGCGATGGAAGTAAAGAAATACCGACAGGCCATGCTGTCGGTGCAAAGACGGGGGGCTCTTCGTATCGCGTGCGCGTATCGAACAGTCCCCGAATCGGCGGTGTTAGTTATCGCCGGTGTGATTCCCATAGACCTCTTAGCTTTTGAGCGAAAGAGTGTCTACGAGCGTAGTATGGAACTGGGCAGGGCAAGGGCGTCCAAAGAAGCACGCAACGTAACGATGGACGACTCGCAGACTCGATAGACTAACGGCACGGACTCCACTTGGACGAGGAGACTAATCAGAGACGTGCGACGGTGGTAGGAGAGGGACGGGAGTGAGGTGAATTTTTACCTCACTCAGTTCCTCTCCGGACATGGATAC